TAAAAACTGTATTTGATTATATTTCATTATATCCATGTATAATTCTTTCTTATTGATTTTTCTCTCCAGTAACATCTTACCAGGCGTTGAGAAGATAGCCAGCTCAATCTGATGCATTACTTTGCCTAGTGCGATCTTGAAAGGGTCGCGATCATCCTCCCTCTCACTCCAAATGTTTCTATAGACGGTTGCAGGAAAAAAGATGAATACACATACTCATACTGCTTCTTATATGATAAAATATTAATGTCCTCTCTACATCAGTACATATGTCTATCTCCTAACCTATCCTCTTTCCATAAAAAACTCCTGAATAAAATGAATGTCAGGCATATTATATCTGCACAGAATTGCAATTAGACTTAAACCATGAATTTGAATAAATTGTCATAACAAGCATTATCCATGGTCCTAGTCCTGATATGTTTTGGGCATGAATGAGTTACAATGTAAAGCTCTTGAAGCTCTCAACTGCTGATTTTATTATTTACACGTTTTTTAAATTTGTTTCTTCTTTATTGTTTTTATAATTTTGTTTCTTACATTCACGTATATTATAACTTTTGATTTATGATAAATGTTAATACGGGAAGTATTAACAGGGGAATTAAATACGGGAAGTATTAACAGTCCTAATCAGACGCCCTGGAGTCAGGTGGTGCGACGAGGCGGCAAGATGAAGACTCCCTCCGTAGGAGGTGATCCTTCTAGGCCAACGCCAGTGCTCCATACTCCGAGGCCGAGGCAACCAAAAGAGGAAGCCTGGTACTGTGGGGAAAGCCAGCACAGGACGGATTCAAGCTGTCCAGACAAAGCTTGTAAACATATTCCCCCCAAGATTTGATCCAGAGCTGGATGACACGCTTGGGATTTTCTCAAGGTGAAAATGAATGACACTGTCACTTCCGCAAAATTGATGCAGAGAGATCCAGATCTGGGTCCTTTCACATCTCAGCTGTCTGCAAAAATGTTGAGGACCTGTACGACCCAGATGTGTGGCCTGAAGGAGTTTTTGTGAGGAGGTATTACTTCAAGCTTCCCTGCCTGGTGCAGAGTCTCTGCGGAAATATATGCTATGTATTACAAGAGCTCGCGCACACTGACATTTATCTTGAATGGGTGCTCATATTGTTATTAATGGTCATAAAGAGATAAACATGGTATCAAATTGTTCGAAAATATATGGCAAAAATCATGAGAAAAAACAAAAGAAGGCAGTTCTATGTTATGTAATGGTGTTACGCGCGAAAACACATGATTTTTTATGAAATGCTTAAAATGGCCAAAAACGTATGCAAAATAAATTTGAGATGATTTTGAGCATTTTGAAATTTTGCGCACGGCCGTTCGCGTATGCGCGCAATTTTTTTACTTGAAATTAACCGCATTGATATTGACCTTGATCATGATAAATATGAATGAAAAGTGACTTTTGGTTAGGAAGATATGATCATGAGTTAATTTGTACACAATGGCGCCTAGATGACGTCATCAGTCAAGGTTGAAAACCTTACTGTGTTTTGTCCATATATCAAATTTCAAGGCATTTGATTGAGCCATTTTCAAGTTAACAAAAAACGTTGCTCTATCCCTTATTGTTGAACGCCAAACAAGGTAGGAACAACTCCCATCTTTTAACGTCTTTTGGTATGACGCGGTCGGGGTTCGAACCCACGACCTCCCGGTTGTGAGGCAGACGCTCTACTGACTGAGCCAGTACTACTTTAAACAAACGGAACTTTGTTATTCTTGGCTCATTTCTCATGATTGAGGTGTCATATGAAAGGGCAGAAGCTTAACTTTCTAGAAATGTGATTTTCTCTTTGAAATTCAGATACCGTCCGCAAAATGGCTTATTGGTTTCCTTCAAATTGATTTTAATCACTCATGCGTGAAATATGCATCATATGAGTTGCTTTAATGAAAGAAGACGATCTAAGCTTTCTAAATATGTGTCATTTATCAATTATAATTATGACTAAGTTATGATAAAACATCGATAATTCTGGGTTTCTTTTTTTCTGGGACGCACTGTATATCTTTGTGTTTTATGGACCTCTGCCTTGTGCAGCTGAGTCTAAGATAAATTTCTGAATTGAATTGAATATCCTTGACAGGTCAATGACCTGTGCTACTCCCTCACAGTGTCTGCATCTTTTTCATCTGTATTATTTTTCTACTTTCTGCATAATGTTGTTTGTTTATTGTTTATTTATGCCTACATTGTATTATTAAAGAGATATGAATAATATTGCAAAAGACTTAACCTGTTGCATTATACCTTTCAATTTTGGTGCATGCATTTCTAATAGTCCCCAGCAAGAAAAAAACAACAACCTAAATTACATGTAAGCAAATCACAAAATAAAACTGATAAAAACAAATTGAATGAATAAAAAACAAAAAAACAAAACCAAAGTCACAAGAGTAACTTTTGCTCACCTTCTGTTGGGGTATGGTTCATACTCTTTAGACTCTCTTTATATTTGACAACTTTTGATACCTCCTCAGCATCTAGATTAGCACATAGTTTGAGAACATGATCCACAGCATCTGACTGCTTTGCAGCCTTCTGGACACCTAGAGAGGCAGTCAGACCAACAACCTAGGTGGGTGAAAGACAACGAGAGAGGGTGAGTGAGAGCAGGTGAGTGAGAGCAGGGTGAAAGTGAGCACAACCACCTCAACCGCCCGCCCCTTGAGTAATGCTACGTTTACACTATGTTCCCGGCGGCCACGGCAACCTCGTTTCAGGCCACAATGGACGAAACGGGATAGAAGTAAGACAACGCGGGGGACCGTATTGGCAAACGTGACTGGCCGTGATTGCCGGGCCAGATTTTTAAACTGTCAAAAAAATTGCCACCGCAGTCACTGTGCAATGAGAAACCTAGTAGGCTGTAGTAACACGGGGTGAACGCAACAAAGCGTGACAGTACGTAATAGGCAGTAACAAAACTTGGAGGCGGTCCGTAGTGGGACGGGAAGCCTGTGTATTCCCCGGCATCTCACGGTTCTTTCAAGTTTTGTCACGTTTTGTGACGGTTCTCACGGCAAGATAGGGTGTATGGTAGCTGTTTTGTCGCATTCAATCACGGCGCGTCTCAACGTGTGATGGTTTATGGCCCGGCGTGCTACAGCGCGTTGCGTTTTACTACGGTCTGACACGGCGTGCTTCACTCTGGCCTTCCCTCTCTGCAACTACTGCAGACTTTCTTCTTGCTGACGCAAAAACTGGGTGTATGCACCCAGCAAACATGCAAACAATAAATCTTCTTTTTCTTGGGCATTCATGATGTTGTCTAGTTGAAATCTCAGGATACAATGATTGCTTTTGTTGTTGTTGTTGTAGTTTGGTATTATCGGCGTTTCATTATTTTTTTAGAATATTTACGCCTATTATAAATTCGTACTCTTCTAAAATCATAGTTTTTTATAATACAATCTCAGATACACTGGTCCATGAAAACCCCTCACTGCAGGGAAGATTGGGAGGCACTCTTTTTATGCCATGGGCACAAATGTGCTCCAAAGCTGCCCGCGTCCACGTTGTATCCATAGAAAGCCTTGACAGAACGTGAAAAACGTGTCGGCCTTGATCAGAACGTGAGGGACCCATCAAAACGTGACGGGCCGAGAGGCAAAGTTCTCGCATCCGTGGTAGAACGCGGGCCGAACCCTATTGCGCATTGGAGTCTCCGGCACTCAGCATCCCCTTCCCCCCACGGCCCGTCACGGATACCGTGATAGACCGTGAGAAAACTTGGCAAGACCTAACAAAACTTGAATACAGGGGTAAAAATTGGCCTAAATCCCACGGCGCACGTTTCATGCAAACGGGGCTGCCGTGGCCGCCGGGAACATAGTGTAAACGTAGCATGAAAAAAAAAAAAGGATTCAGGGAAAAAGAAATGGCATCTAACAACATCCCCCCCCCTTTTGTGTAAGAAAATTTGGAAAAAATAGGAAAAGTAGGGGAAAATCTGGAAAATCAGGGTAAAATCAGGAAAAATCAGGGCTGGAGAGTGGGAGGGGGAGAGGGGAGAGGAAGGGAGGGAGATAGAAAAGGGGGAAGATAGTATAGAGAGAGAGGAGAGGAGGGAGATAGGAAGGAGGAGAGGCAGGAAAGAAGAAAAGGAAAGAGGCAAAGATTTAAGGCTATCTATTTGACTAGCAACATGATGGGGAAGCATAGACTGAAAATATGAATAATCCAGAGCTTTTTCAAAACTGAATTTTTATATTTTTTCAGCTATGAAAAGAAGGTCGCTGAGAAGCTCATTCTTACTTGTGGCAAAGTTGCTTGATTTTCTTTCTTCTCATCTCTATAATAGGCCATAATGGTGTTGTAAGAATTTTCTTTCTGTTCATAAAAAGTGAGAAAAACATCAATTAGAACATTATAAAAATCCATTGTAAAAAGGTTACTGTTTGCAAAATCTGTTCACATGGGCTTCATAATATGTCGAACACATAGAATTTTGTTTACATGTCACACAAGTGAAACAATATTGTACTTTATAATGTCTCACCCAATGGCGATTTTTGGGGGGCTATTTTGAACCCCCGTAAGTGATATTTTTCTGGCATCTACTAACACAATGGAGACCATAAACAGCATTTCATGATAACGTCTTTTTAAATCAAGTAACAGTTTAAGGGGGTTTCGACCCATGACGATGCGGGATCGTCCACGAGCCGCGAAGTCTGAGCCGCGTAGCGGCGAGGCGATTTTGGGGGGGCTATTTTGAACCCCCGTAAGTGATATTTTCCTGGCATCTACTAACACAATGGAGACCATAAACAGCATTTCATGATAACGTCTTTTTAAATCAAGTAACAGTTTGAGGGGGGTTCGACCCATGACGATGCGGAGCATCGTCCACGAGCCTCAAAGTCCGAGCCGTGTAGCGGCGAGGCAATTTTGTTGTTGCTATTTTGAACCCCCGTAAGTGATGTTTTCCTGGCATCTACTAACACAATGGAGACCATAAAAAGCAGTGCACGATAACGTCTTTTAAATCTAGTAACAGTTTAAGGGGGGTTTGACCCAATGACGATACGGATACCATGTGGGTCTGGACACATGATGGAGTTTTTCTATTCACATCACATTTTCACTTGGCAGCCCAAGGGGGGGGGGGGGGGGTTAAACCCTCTAACCCCTCCCCCACCCCCACCGATCCGCCACTGGGATCTTTGTAGGCGATGGAAAAAAGTGCTTTCGAAACGGATAGAAACTTCGCGGCCACAGGGATGACAGAAATAATATGACAATGAAACCAGCAACTATGGCAGGATTAATGGCGGGAACAATCTGCATGCTGAAAGAGCACTTAGAATAGGTATATCGGAAAATTAATTCAAGACTAAGTTATAGGTTATAAGTTATAAGTTATAAAGGAGATAAAAATCTTTGGTATTAGTCATGTTCGACTTAAAATTGCATGCCCCCCCCCCACTTACCCGGTTAAAAAAAAAACACCTTCTTATAATATCATACCCCTTTCTTTCTTTTCCCTTCTCATTATTCTCCTTTCCCCCTTTTCTCTCCTCCGTCTTTCCGCCTTTCTTCTTTTTCCGCCTTTTCTCTCCTCTCTCTTTCCCTTTCCCTCCTTTTTCTCCTCTCCTCTTTTCTTTCCTCCCTCTTTTCTTCTTCTTTCTCTCTTCCCTTTTTTTCTTTTTCCTCTCCTTTTTCTTTCCCCTTTTTCTCCTTTTCTTTTTTTTTAGCCGGGGGGGCATGTGCCCCCTGTGCCCCCCCTGGATCCGTCACTGACATCGGTCCGAATCTAGCATCAGCAATACCAAATGTACCCACATTATTTGAAGATTATTTGAATAATAGTGTTGAGCTATCCCTTTTTTGGAAACCGGTCACAATGAAGGAAGTTCATGACCACATGCTGGCTCTAGACAGAGGAAAGCTTGTGGTTACGACAACATTCCAGTACGCCTGATTAAGGATGGTGCATCTATTTTGGCTGAACCATTAACACATATCTTCAATCTTTCATTGGAAACAGGAAATTTCCCTGATCAAATGAAAATTGCTAAAGTCAGTCCACTGTTTAAGAAAGGTAATAAACATGAAACAGGGAATTATAGACCCATTTCTGTCTTACCAATTTTGGGTAAAGTATTAGAAAAAATAGTTAATGTTCGATTGACCAGTTTTCTAGAAACGCATGACATTTTATCACCATCAGTAAGGATTTAGGAAAAAGTATAGTACTAAATTATCATTAATTAATCTTATGAATACGGTATTGAAAAGTATAGACGAAGGATGTGTTACGCTTGGTGTGTTTCTTGACTTTCAAAAGGTTTTTGACACAATAAACCATAACATATTATTTAAAAAGCTATCACATTATGGCATCCGAGGACATGCACTGAAATGGCTCGAAAGCTATCTTAGTAACAGAATGCAGTTTGTGAAATACAAAGAGTCATCATCAGAAAGTAGATATATGAAATGCGGTGTACCACAAGGTTCTGTCTTAGGACCGACTCTGTTTTTAATCTATATAAATGACTTGCCAACTGTGACAAATTATTTCAATGTCAGACTATTTGTAGATGATTCTAATATTTTTCATACTTTTCCCAAAGGTGTAGATCAAATAGATGAGTGTGAAGTAAATGAAAATTTAAAATCAAAACAGAATTGGTGCACGGCAAATAAGCTTACTATCAATGCGTCAAAAACCAATTTCATTAGTCGTAGAAGAAAGGCTGTGCTTAAAGGGAGATTAAAAATACCTGGGGCAGAATTAAGAGAAGTGGAGGAAGCGACATTTGTTGGCATTACCATTGACAGACATTTAACATGGAATTCACATATGAAATCTGTTAATGACTGTATACAGAGAAAGTTCGGTATCCTCTTTAAATTACGGCACTTTGTCCCTAAACATATATTGATACTGTTGTATAAAGCTCTGATACAGCCACATATTACATATGGCATCAGGGTTTGGGGTAGTATACTTATAAATCAGACTTGAATTGTATATTATATACTCAAAAGATGGCTGTACGTGCTATAACTTTCAAGCCACATCGTTCTCATACTAATGCACTGTTTCATGACCTCAAATTGTTGAATGTTTTTAAATTGCATAAATTATCTATTTGTACTTTTGTGTTTGATTTGATTAATGAACAATTACCTCATTCCTTAAAACATTATTGTAGTATGATACAACATGAATATTCCACAAGACAAAAAACGGGTCGACAATTACGTCTTCCTTTATTCAAAACAGACCAAGTAAAGTTTTCTGTTTCGTCTGTTGGAAGTAATTTTTGGAATATGCTTCCTACTGATCTAAGAATTGAGAGATCAAGAACCTCTTTTCGTAAAAAAACTTACAAAATTACTCTTAAAGGTACTATGTCCCTTTTGCAGCCAACCTCAAATTCTGTAGAACTTTGCAGGAATTATGAATATGTCATGTATGTCCTATCTGTGAAATTCAAATGTTAGTAGTGTCCTAATATTCAAATTATGCAAGGAAACCTGTATACTTGCTAGACTTCACTGTCAGACACTATTGAGTGACTGACTGGCTTTTTTCTTCTTTGATAATAACATACATAAAATGAGCTGTAAAGGGTACATGAGCATTTGTCTACATCAATAACCACTTCTTGTGATGGCCAAAATTAATACTGATTGAATCTTTGCGCAGCATAAAACGTATGACCATTCAGTACAATGGTCTGAAAATAAAGACTATTACTTATTGGCTCTATAGCTCCTAAGTCGATTTGACAACTAATAGTCATTACTTTCCCACTTGAAGACATTTTCAAGCCCCACCTTTTTTAGGGAAGTTCTAAATTAGTATCTTTCAAATGCCGTTGGAATTTCACCTTTTCATTTTTTGGGCCAGCAAATGGGACATAGTATCTTTAAGTGAAAACCACGAATCATAACCTTGTACTGTATGGTTGTATATAGTAACCAGTCTCATTTTAATATTATACACAAGATTTGGAAACCCATCATGTATTTTCCAATTAACTTTATTTTAGGCTTTAGATAACGAGAGTTAGACTCGACTAGCACATGTGGTATTTTTTACTCCATTTTAGCATCGATCACAAACTCATTGTAAATAGTCATTTATTGTTTTACTCTTGAAGCAAAGTTTACTTTATATTTGCCATAATGTACATGTATATCGCTGTAGAACATGTATTTTTATAATTCATGTCATGCATTTATGTTATATTGACATTGTCATTGTACATTTATCTTTTGTTTCAATGTTTTCAATGGTGGTGAATAAATAAATTCAATTCAATTCAAAATTCAATTCAATTCAAAACATGAAGAGGGTAAAAGTATCCTCCTATACAGGGACTATATTAAGATATACTGTAGTTTGCTCACCTGAGTGTTGTGGCATTCATCTAGAATGATGAGACGTAGCAAGGAGAGGGAGAAACTCTCATCATCCTTAAGAGCATTGAGAAGTATCTGTGCAGTCAGAACGATGACATTAGCCTGCTGTAGATAATAAACCAACGGCATCTGGGATGACATGTCTCCGCTGATTCCTACAACGTCAGGGATGAACTCCTGGAATGCATTTTTCTGCTGCTCTACCAGGGCAACCTTAAATAATCAGAAGGATGGATCACAAAATACATTGATTAGATGACGCTAGCAAAACCTAGAGGCATGAAATAACTAAATGCAGGATGGATTGTTTTGTTGTTGGTGGTCTAATGGTGTCATCTGACTTGCCCATTGACTACTGAATTTTTCTCTCGTTCTCATTCACTCAAAACAAGATTCAACTGGTTCCTAGGCCATTGCCAATGGATTAAATGTCTCACCGATTGTTTTGGTGTTCGCAACCCTTATCTAGGTAATATGGGGTCTTATAGTCATGATTAAATATCGCAATGTAACTCCTTTGAAATAGATATGGGATTTGAGATCATCTATAAAATTGGATAATCATGCTATTTGAAATACTGTGTGCACAGTAGCATATGGATCTGCGACTCTACTCTGGACTATATGTATACAGCTATTATATTTATACCTCTAACTCTACATTTGCATTGTGTTAAACCCACATTTGTAGCATTTTTGAAGCAATTCTGCCTGTTCTAGCTGTTTCTACTTCAAGGTGCTAGAATGTAATGATGCAATGCATGGATCTCCAGCAGCACTCCTGCAAGACTGCATACTTAATTGCCACATCTACTGAGGTGGATATGCCCATTGGATATGAAAGAATCTGCGGAAAGTATGCAGCAGGTTCATATGCGATATGAATATTCATGATGAAGAGTCTGCGGCAGATCCCGCAGACACTTTGTCATAGCCTTTTCTATGAATATTCATGATAAAGAGTCTGTGGCAGATCTGCCGCAGACTCTTTGTCAGAGCCTTTTTTATGAATATCCATGATGAAGAGTACGCGGCAATGGTGGGGCAAGCCTGCAGCAAAACTAATTTTCATGTGAAAAAGATGACTGTCTGCGGCAGAAGTATGCGGCAGGCCCCTTTCTTTCCTATGGGATATTCTTTGGGGTGAGGCTTCCTTTAAAGGTACTATGTCCCTTTTGCAGCCAACCTCAAATTCTGTTGAACTTTGCAGGAATTATGAATATGTCATGTATATCCTATCTGTGAAATTTAAACGTTAGCAGTGTCCTAATATTCAACTTATGCAAGGAAACCTGTTTACTTAATAGACTTCACTGTCAGACACTATTGAGTGACTGACTGGCTTTTTTTCTTCTTTGGTAATAACATACATAACATGAGCTGTAAAGGGTACATGAGCATTTGTCTACATCAATAACCCACTTCTTGTGATGGTCAAAATTAAACTGATTGAACCTTTGTGCAGCATAAAACGTAAGACCATTCGGTACAATGGTCTGAAAATCAAGACTATTACTTATTGGCTCTATAGCTCCTAAGTCGATTTGAAAACTAATAGTCGTTATTTTCCAACTTGAAGACAAATGCCGTTGGAATTTAACCTTTTCATTTTTTTGGCCTGCAAATGGGACATAATACCTATAACACCTGATAGTTCAATTATGACATTTGTTCAAAATGTTGGTGTCACAGAAAAAGGTGGGTAGCATAGTGAGATGAAGTGGCATGAAAAGATGTGTCCAAAACAAAAAATGCATAATTGTGGAAACTTTATGGCATAGAGACATAACCATAGGAACATGAAGTAAGTTTAGTGTCTCTACTGCTTCTCTACTGCCTTGATTAGGCAAAATGTTACCCATTTTGCTAATTAACAGAAGGGCCTCTGCCCACCTTATTCACAACAAAGACAACTTTTTTGTGTGTCTTGCAGGCTCCTCTCTGCTCTTTCAAGGCATTTATTGCGATGGCTATGGCCACCCGAGTCTTTCCAGATCCTGTTGGTGCTACGATGACTGAGTTCTTGCCAGCGAGGGAGTGCTTTGCTAGTTCCTCCTGGTAGTCATGAAGGTTTAGGCGCTCTATAGTCATAGGGGTACTCAATGGACTAGCTTCGTTACATGTCCCTGTGTTTTTGGTCTCTGTAAATGAAAGGTTAACTTAAATAAACAAAATTGTATTTGAATTGTCATGAAATTATACATTTTAGTGTAACCGTTTTGGTTGCTCTTATAGTCACTGATAATTATTATGAATTATTTTTACCAAATTTATTCCTAAATGCAGAATGATATTTTTACAATTAGCAACAGTTGCAAATGGAAAAATGAGGAGTCTGTAATATTCATAGTTATAACACTGCAGAAAATACAAAAAATGCAGTTTTGTGGATATATCACAATCATTTGACATCATTTGACAAATTTCAGCTCTGAAACATAAAAAGTTTAGTTTGAACAATGCCTTAAATGGTGTAAAAATTACCAACACTAGCACAAAGCAATATTACCTGCATCACTGCTTATGGATGAACTGGTAGTTTTAGGTGTATCTGGTAGTTTCAGGTACTGTAGCATCTGAGGGATGTTGCCACCATCAGAATCTGCATCATCACCAGACCTTCCTGGGTGCTCACCAGACATCCCTTCACCACACACCAGTAGCATCGCTGGTATCGGGTTTATCTCCATTGTCAGGCTTGTCATCATCAGGACCTGGTTTGCCGTCATCATCATCCCGTTTCTTCTTGTCATGAGGGTCTTGCTTTGGTCCTCCATTATTATCATCATCATCATGACCATCTGGGTTTCCATTGCTCTCGACACCTACAGCATTATCATTATTATTATCATTATTATCACAGTTATTATAATTACTATTATTTTGATTTTTACCACCATCATCAAACCATTGTCTTTATTATTATTAATAATATTGTTATGATTATTCTTATTCTTATCATCATTATTTCTTTTAACAATGTCATTATTTTAATTATCATTATTATTACCTCCATGCCAACCGTTGTATGCATCCTCCAAACTCTGGGCTAACAATTGGAATCCAGTAATTGCTCGGAGTCCGTTGATCACCTCTTGAATAACTGTTGGTTGTTTGGCTCTAAGACGCAAGAACAACTCACTACAGGCAACTTGCGGTCCGTAGTTTCTTTCAGTTGCCCTGACAGCCTCTTTGTCAAGTTTTCAAAGCAATTTAAATGGGGCAAGAGCTCGAGCGGCGGGACCTTCATTAAATCTACTTCGGTGCCCAGAAGGAGATTTTTTAGTTCCCAGCTTTCATCCAGTTTTTCTTTCCCGATGATCACATCATGCAGAAACTTATTTCCTGGTGTAAAGAATGAAAATTTGGATAAGTTTAGAGAATCTTGGAAAGTGCATCTTCCCAAACTGGAATCGATGTCTGAATGGAACATTACACAATTCTACAACACACGCTCTGGTGACATACATTATTCCTCAAAATTATTAATTTTTAATCTGGCCTATACACTATATAACCCTATACCTACATGTACCTAACACAAGGCGCTAGCTAAGGCCCAAGTGCAACCCTAACTCATACCCTATAACTCTAATGAAATTAAGCCCAAGAAAAATGTCAATGTAGCAAAAATCTGGTCAGTAAGTCGATCAGTGGCTAAAATTCATTTATACATGTACTTGTAAATTTGTATACAAAGATAATTAGGCGAGGCGTCAAAAATATCGATACCAGCAGGCTGCCGCCTCACGTATTGGCGCATCAAGGCTGCAATTACGGCCGAAGCCTGGCTGCATGGGGCAATTATTTTTCACCTATTAGCCCAGCCGGCTTGCGCCAGGCTGGGATCTGAGGCTCGGTTTCCATTCGAAAGGCGGCAGCCGGCGCATGCTTTTGAATGCCATTGCCTACCGCCAGCGGTAGCTGGCTGAGCTAATTTAAAAAATGCAGCCAGGACGCACAAGTGCAGTTAGCTGCCGCTGGCTGGTATATTTATTTTTGACGCCTCGCCTTAGGAATATACCATGAATCTGGAAATGCATATTTTATTTTTATTTTATTTTATTTTATTTCTGCATTTTTTTCCAAATACAATATAAATATAAATATTTACAAAGAACATATAAATGTAAGGTATAATACAACAAAGGTATAAACGAAGGTAGAATACAACATAAACAAACAATAATTTCTTCATGTCAAAATGTTTTTTTTACATAATATATGTACATATAATAACAAAACTTATTATTTCCATAACATATTATCATAAATTTAAAGTATTATTCGAACTATTCTGTTGGAAAAGTGCAGTAGACCGCAATCATAAGCAAAGCTTGACAAGGATGGCGGCCTCAAAAAAACGAAAAAACCTGAAGGTAAAACTTAAATATGCATTCATACAAAACTATTCTCCACTGTTGGGAGGACTCAAAGGATTTGTTCCACGCACCTCTGGCAGGGGACTTGCATTTCGCGAGATTTAGTTTTTGACTCTTTTTTTAGATGTAATATCACCATTTTTCTTGACTCTGTGCAGTGCGAATACCTATGGTTTTTCTCACTCTGCATTATTGTTTTGAAAACTTTTATCCCGTATCGATCGACTCGTTATTTTTGTCTCGATCGCATCTGTCTCTCTTCAATCGCCATGATCCGTTGTGTTGTGTTAACTCTTTGATCATATTTGATGATCCTTCTTGTGTTCGTTTTTTGATGATTGTTTATTGTTGTGTGATAGTATATTTGTTTATTCTTTTGATCGTGAGTTTTGTACTACTGTTTATTACTGTTTATTATTGTTTGTTTTCGTAATTTACAGGAGATTATTTGCTCCCGTTTTAATCCAGTGATCACTGTAATTTTTATGTTGATTTTTGACATCTTGGAGAGTTTTGTCCGGTCCCTTTGACATTTGTACTTTGTGTTCTTCTTCTTCTTTGGGTTAAGTCTACCTCCTTCACAGTTGAAAATTCTTGCAGACTGATGAGTGTGTGTGGTGTGCTTACGAGAGCCAGGTGCATGGTGCGATGCTATTAACATGGTTAATTAGTTGCGGCCTCCTGTCATTGTTCCAACTCCAGACTCCTCACAGTCCTGGGAAAGAAGGACTGCTTATGTTGCTCAGATCTTGAACAGGGGAATTGGTAGCTATCTGCTTGGGCAGTCCTGGTGGATCTTGTGACAGTTGCTTGTGTGTGGTCCAGTCAAGTAGTTGGAGCGTGGAAGTCAGGCTAGAGGTATTGTGGTACCGATTTAGGGTGAATCTAGCGACCCATCTTTGTACCATTTCTATATTTTGATGGATGTGGTTTGCAGAGGGATCCCACACTGTGATACCTACTGTACTCAATGTGTGGTCTTACTATATAGAGCTTTTGTAGGCAGTATTCTTCAGGTCCGGTGAGTTGATCCGAAGATTTTGTCGGAGGAAGGAGAGGGTGTTTGCTTTCTGGCATATACTTGTGATTTTTTTATCCCATTTCAAGTCAGTTGTGATTGTGAAGCCAAGGTACTTGGTTGATGAGACTAAATTCTTCAAGGGGTGTGTTGTTCAGGATGTACTGGTGTCGTATCTGGCTCTTCTTTCTGGACACTGTGATGGCCTTGCACTTGTCCGTATTGAGCTCCATTCAGCAAGTCTATTAAGGTCCTCCTGTAGTTCAAGAGAGTCTTGTCTAGGTTGCTAGGTAGATGATGGCGTCATCTGCAAAGAGATGTACCAGAGAGGTGAGCTTATCTGGCAGGTTGTTGATGTAGTGCAGGAATAGAGAGGGTCCCAGGACAGAGCCTTGAGGTATTCCTGAGTTGACGTCAACCTCAGGTGATGCATGGGCTTCTAGAACGACTTGCTGGGTTCGATGGTGAAGAAAATTGATGATCCACCTGTTGCTTTTGCCTCTTACTCCATAGTAGTCCAGCTTGTGCACTGTGCAGTAGACTCTGGTGACCAACCTTGTTAAAGGCTTTGCTGAAGTACATGACAAGGACATCAGTTTGCAGTCCTAGCTACATGTTCTTGTGTAGGTCACTGACGAATCCCAGTAGTTGTTGCTCACAGGATCTCTTTGGCCAGAACCCATGTTGGAGGGGGTTGAGGATGTCGTTTTCATCCCGATGCCTCATGATGCTACTTGCAAGGATGTGTGCTCCAACATCTTGCAGCAGATGCATGTGAGGGAGATTGGGCAAGAGTTGCTTGGATCGGTGCTGTTGCCTTTCTTGTAGACAGACACCACGTTTGCTTTGTGCCAGTCATCTGGTATCTCGCCAGTGTCATACAAGAGTCTGTAGATGCTGCATGAGATGGGAGTGATGACTCTGGATAACTGCTTTAGGATACGTGGGGTGATCCCATCAGGTCCTGGCACTTTATGTGGTTTGAATTTCTCAAGCACCCTCTCGATACCCTTCACAGTTATTATTTTGTCAGGCATTGATTTGTGTTCCAAAGTATCTGGCAACAGATGAGGGATTGGAATTTCCTGTGTGAAAACCTTCTTGAACTGTCTATTCAGGGCATCAGCTTTCTAAGCTAGTTCACTGATTAGCAGGCCGTCAGATTTGAGTTCCGCAATTCCAGCACTGTCGGTTCTGTTATGCTTGATGAATTGCCAGAATCTCTTCATGCAGTTGTACTTCCCTGGACCTTCGACATAGTTCCAATAAGCTTAAGCTGCTCTTCCATAGCACATGGAATGAGGCCCTCTCTCTTCTGGTGGTGTTTGCACTTGTTACTCAGTCTGTCGCGTTTCTGAGTCGTCTGATGCTATTTGTCACCCATGGTAAGTTGGCTTTGTGTGAGTCATCTTTTTGGGGAATGAAGTCGTTGATGCCCTTCTCGGTACGTGCCAGTCTCGAAGATGAGCCATACTTTGTTCACAGAGGCATATATGGTAGCTTAGCTTCTATCTCATCTCTGACTGCTTCCATGCTCTCAGCAAACTTCTCCCACTGAGCTTTGCTGTATATAGAGTACCGTTAATACTTTCCTCTGCATCTGGTGCGCCTGGTTGGTCTGACATCTAGCTTGACGAGAGGGCAATCATGGTCAGACACTCCTGGGACAACTGTAACCTCATTGACTACAGCTGGATTGCTGACAAGGAGTACGTCAAGTGTAACTTGTTGGTTCAGTATACTGCTTGGGTAAGACAGTGGTCATCAAGGAGAGATCTCGGCCTGCGGTGGAGATTGATATATCTGCAATTGCCGACTTGTTGATTTTTCCAATCCCATCCCTGTAAGTTGAAATCACTGTCTATTACAACAGAGTGGGTGGGGCGTAATCTTAACAAGGACCTTTCAAGCTCTGTGAGGCAGAAAATGGAGAGTCCTGGCTCCTGGCATGTTGATCTTCTTCTTCTTCTTCTTCCTCGTTAAATGCTACTTCAGGCAACGAAGATTGCGCACTGCAGTGTGGTGTGTGCCATGTCCAATATGTGTGTAGGCATCAATCCAGGTGCAAAAATATATATACAGTGATGTGCTATTAAAAACGTGGACAGCGATGTACTGCCATCAGTTGGACGCTTCCTTCAATGTCCCTTTAAAGGCATCCAGAGTCAGGAAGTCTGCAGGGTCCCTCTTGAGGTTGTTCCACTCTCTACTAGTGCAAGGGAAGAAGGATGAGAGGAAAGTCTGGTTGCTGCAGTAAGGTGTCCAAAAGCAAGAGCTGTGCCCCCTGGTGCGTGATGACTCTGTTAAAAAGTTGTTTCAGTTAATGTCAACCATGTCATATCTGATCCTGTAGAGCATCGACAGTCGTTGTTGTTGGCGCCTTCTTTCTACAGAATGCCATTGGAGGTCTCTCAGTAGTGACGTTACTCTAGATCTTCGATCATAGGTACTAATGACAAAACGGGCACTGCTTCTCTGGACCTGCTCAATCTTCTTGATGTTGCTTTGGCTGTGGGGAACCCACACCAAATGTGCACCAAATGAGCTTGCAGTCAGTTTCTAGTTCAATTTCTCTGGATACCAAAAGATCCATCTTGATGGCAAGGAATACACTGCCGTGGGGATCGTTGGGTCTATCCCTTCTTTCAATGTTGTAGGGGGTCAGTGGGGAACACTTCACTATTGCGTATGTCTTCAGTCAGCCAGGATTCAGTCCCTATTACTACTTCTGGATTGTGTTGAATTATCAGAATTGCAAAAGACTGCTTCTTGGCGTGAATACTCTAACAGTTTACGTTGAGTATTGTTAAGACTTTTGCCTTTGGCTTTGTTGGGTTGTTGACTTGTTGGGTTTCTTTTTCAATGTTCTGGGTGAGGAGGAGAACTTTGGTGAATTCATAGGCATAGTGAGTCATCACTTTCGCTTTCATATGTGCTATCAGGATTTGTACTGCAGGTTTCGATGTCAGTGTGGTTCAAATGGCTGAACAGATTTTGGCTGCCGAGGTTGCTATTGAAGGCACTGGGAAGGTATAGATCTGAGCTTATATTGTGTACTCCACAGATGTTGTACAGTAGATCCACAAAATTGAGCTGGTGCATAGGGCACTATAGACTGTTATCACACTCGGCATGGAACCACTGTTCACATTCACCTTCACACTGAATGCTCTTGACTTTCAAGACACGTTTTTTCCACATCAAAATAACAATATATTACAGTACTGTCCATGGCTGCAGGTTGTACAGTGTAGAAACTACTGGTAGATGGTTCCTTGTATGACTGTAGATCATGTGAAAGCTGTGGACATCAGAGTCTTGCTGTGGGACTTCAGTTGTTGATGGCACTGATATCAATTAAAATGGAATGAGTGGCAAACCTAGCTTAGATTTCAGTTGACAAAATTGGTCAAAGAGAACACAAAATTCAATCTGACTTAAGAAGGGTAAAATTCCTAAATTCATGAAGAAATTCAAGATAAAGACAAGCCAGGCCAGGACGTCGATGTAGGGCAATTTCCAGGAAGCTTTGCAGGGTCGTTCCTTCCCATTTTTAAAAAAATAGATGCATTGCCAAAGCAAAGTGCATCCAATTCTCGCAACTGTGTGTGTGTGTGCTTAAAGTCAGACGATTATATGAACCTTGATTATTTGTGGTGATTATATCCATATAAAATTGCTGATATTTAATTGTACAACCTTATTGTTTGATAGTGTGGTTTTTTTCTTGTGAGATCATAAAGTTAAAAGGTAAAACCCCCTCGAGGAGTTCTACAAATTAAATTTGACAAAATGCTAGTACAATTACTGAGAAAGCAACATTTATTGTAATCACCTGAACTCTCAAGTGCATCCATGAATCTCTTAGCAACTCCTCTCTCATCCTCCATTTGACCAAGTGCTTGTAGCAGCTCTTCCACTCCTTCTCGTCTACTCCTTTTGCTTGCATCAAAGAGCAAGGAAGAATGAGAACCTTAAGTGTACATTTAAACAAAAAAGGAAGACAAAATAAGAGTCTAAAGATCGCTGCTGAACATTAACCTACAGTTCACATGACTTATGCCGAAAGGGTGGGTGGCGTCGCATCGCGTTGAACGAACCATTCGTCCAAAGCCCCCCCCCCCCCCCCCCCCCCCCGGTTTTCTGTGGCACAGATTGGGGCATGGTGTGTGTTGAGCTTATGGGAAGTACGTTCTTTCCCTTCTGAATAGTGTCTGCACGTACGTGAGACTAGTCACGTTCGCTAGCGCATAGCGCTGCGAAGAAGTTTGAATATCCATCGCGAACTATGTGTTTAGATAATATTCCTCTTCGTTTAAGTTAGTTAAGTTTTATTGACTAATTATTGTGATGTTCTCCTTATTGACGTGCTGCCTCCTCTTCAGATTTCCAATTTCATTTTAATTGTTGATGTAATTATCTCCATACGGTAGTGGATTACATGTAACACTATTAAAAGCAGACCTCTACTACTAGTACGCACATGACCACTATTAGTCTGTAAATCAAGACCCTTTAAAAAAAAAGCCCCAATCTGTGCCGCAGAAAAAAATAACGCCCCCCGGTTGTGCCGAAAGGGTGCTTTGACTGGTCTTCCACATCAGTCATTTATAATAGAATTTAAGGAATAGAAATTACCGGTAAGTCGTTTAAATTCAAATAATAAAAAAAAAACACATTAAAAATTAAATAAAACTTTTCTCGAAAGGGTGCGCTGACTAGGCTTCCACATCAGTCGTGTTAATAGAATTTAAGGTCTAGAAATTGTAGTCGTTTAAAATTGAAATAATCAAAATGGAAAGATTAAAATTAAATAAAACTAGTTTGTACGTAGTCTTGCAGATCAGGCGTTTATAAGAATTAAATCAATTAATAAATTCAATAAATATTTAAAGATGTTAAATGAAAATAAAATCCATTTCTTTCTATGTTTAGAATTCATTTGTTGATGTAAACTAGTCATGCATAACAGTCTTTACAAAAGAAATAACAAATAAATAAATAGATAATGGTGTAGGCCTACCGCCTTAATGCACCCATTCGGGATAAGGGGTGGGGGGGGGGGGGGGGAGGGGCTTTCTGAATTCCATACATAGAAAGGAATAGATATCATTTTTTAGTTTAATAATTAAACAACTGATATGCAAGACCGGGTAAACACCTTTATTTGAAATTTTTAAATATCAAAGTAATTAAATTATTTGATTGAACTTGTTTCTTTTTATTTATTGATTTAATTCTTATAAACGCCTGATCTGCAAGACTACGTAAAAACTAGTTTTATTTAATTTTTAATCTGTTTTTATTTGTATTATTTGTATTTAAAGAGAAGGTTGAGTTCTGGGAAGAGGTGAAAAATAATTTGTGAGCATTACTCATTCTTAATATTATGCAAGTGTGGAAGAAGATCAGTTAAGACATGTTCCCTGAAAAGCATGGCTTTTCAAATGCCTTTATATTCTAAATATGCATGTAACATCGTAAAAATCGGGGGGCCGGCTTTTTACGCCACGTGTTCGTGTAGTCCCATATACATCTTTCTGTGCAAGTGTTTGTAACTTTACCAAGACTTGGCCAAATTTCTTATCATTTTGATGATTCCAGAACCTTGCAATACACACAAATTTTTATATGCTAGATGATCAACCTTTTCTGGTCGGTTCCACACCGTTTCTTTCACAATGCAATCGCATGACCAGAACTCAACTTCTTCTTTAAACAACCTAAATTTCTATTCCTTAAATTATATTATAATCAAACTGATGTGGAAGACTAGTCAACGCACCCTTTTGGCAAAAACGGGGGGGGGGGGGGGGGGGGGGGGGGGGGGCTTTGGACGCATGGTTGCGTTCCAGTCAACGCGATACTCCCAATGCACCCTTTCCACTCAACCAGATGGGGGGGGGGGGGGGGGGCTTTGGAGGAATGGTTGCGTTCCAGTCAACGCGATACTCCCAATGCACCCTTTCCACTCAACCAGATGGGGGGGGGGGGGGGGGGGGAGTTGGCAGGGGCTTTGGACGAATGGACGCTATACCGACCCTTTCGGCATAAGCCATTCTGATCTGATTGAAATCAATTCTTATAATTCTTAGCTTTTGATTATTGATATCACTACAAAAAAGTCTAAAGAGGTGGTTTTACTTACCCAAATCCAATCGGGGACAGACACTTTTGGGATCCAGATACTGTAAAAGAAGGTCTCGAAATATGTGTGTAATTGTTTTTATCTCGACGATTGGACAACTTTTAGTTGACGCCATCGTGGTAGAGTTGGGGCTGGGGCTAATTGGAACTGCAGTCATTTGTGCTTCTGAAGACAAAGGGGTCCTGGTCCTCCATGTTTTGTCTTTGCCTTTAGCAACTCGATGTCACTGCACTGTCACTAGTACTGTCCATCAAGCCAGCAAAGCAGGCATACACTGGAATTTAGCAGTGAGGTAGAAATAGAATCTAGAAAAGAATATTCTTGTCAGCTCCTTTACTTAGGAGTGAGCTTGAAAAGTCGAATTGACACCTGGACCTGTCAGGCCGGGTTCCAAAGTCTGCAGAGAAGCCCTAGCTGAGACTCATTGTACTATACAACTTCTCACGATCACTAGTACAAGTGAACCAAACTTATCCAACCAGATAAGATATGTGCCTCAATCGCGTTTACTGCATGCGCACGTATGGTGCATGCAAGGGTGCATGCATGAACACGTCATGTGACAAAGTGGGGATTCCCAGGATAACATTGCGTCATCAGTGTACATGTAAACATCGAAGACATGTAATCGCGATATTCGTTTTCTATATATCACAAGCGCCCTATAGTATCAACGTATTTCGCAACGTGATTTGGGGATTTGGGGATTCCCAGCATTAGTCATTATCATTACTTGTTTTTTGTTTGTTTAACCCGGGGGAGGGAGGGGGGGGGGGGTGTACTTAGATTTGGTTTGGACGGGGGTGCCGCTCAAGCCTCGAAACCCCTACCCATTTTTAAGTGTCTTTTTTTTGGGGGGGGGGGGGGGAGGGGGGTTCTCCAAGTATTTTCGGGAACGCGTACGTAACCCATGTTTAGGGATATTTTTGTCAAAAATGGGACAATATAGGTTAAGGGATTTTTGGTGAAAAATGAGTGACGAATAAGAGCGGCATATCCCCGTAGTGTCTTAATATGTAAGTACCCCCCCCCCCCACCCCGGGTTTTGAAAACAGGCAATGGTACTTTTGTCCAAATTACTATCCACCATGGTAACCATGGTTATCATTGTACCAAAACAATGAAATACATTGTTTGATGACCGAATGTATTTCATTGTTTTGGCACCATGATAACCATGATGGATGGTAATTTGGACAAAAGTACCATGGTTACCACGGTACATTTTTGTAAGGGATATATATAAACACCGATGTCCTCTCTGCTCGATCTATCTCTGTCTGTCTGTCTATCAAACTATACCACACCCCTTCTCCTCTACCATTATGCAATCATACCCCCTACCTATAACCCTTAAACACTATCCATGTGTACTATTTCTATTTTTTGTGAGCGTCCCTATATAAGAAGAAGAAAAAAAAATCGTCAAATTCAAGTTATTTTGAACCTTGCAGGTGTCAGCACGAAAGACCAGCTGTTTATTTTAGACCTCCAACCTTTGATGGGCAGTGCGTAAAATCTAATCTAGTCCAAAAAGTGAAATCTAGTCCAAGAGGGAAGCCGAGAACCAGCTAGGAAGAAACATTAAAATCTGGGTGGAACAACAGTGTAAGAGTTCACTAAAGAATGGCAGAAAATAAGAAGATGTGTGGAAATATGATGTAATCAATCTTTGAGCTTGCAGTAGGAACCATGACAGATAGAAAACCTAAAATTACAGCAACTTCAACCCGGCCTAGCAGGCATCTTCTCTTAAAGAATCTAAGTAGAAAAAAACAGAGAAGCAGACTGGTGAAAGTTTGAATGAAATTGGAGGAAAAAAAATAAGCAAGATATGAATTTTGAAAGTTATAATCCCTATACGTATGGGCCTTTTCAGGTTGTGTCATGGTAGCCTATTTTGATGTAGGCCTACATGTAGTGCCAGACAACTTTCCCCTATTTGTTTTTATCACACACAAAAAATGTATATATCAAGGTTTGTTTTATTCTTCTTTGAGAACCTATATAAAATGCTATCTATTGAATATATTTTGAGTCGTGCCTCAATAAGGAAAAAGGCACTTAGGAAAAAAAATAGAAATTAATGATGTGTTTTTGGCACAGCAAATGGGAGAGTAGGCTACTGTTGTCCATGATCTTGATGACTTCATCACATTCCCTGACCAAATTGCCAATTTCAGATTCGGATAGATTTAGTGATCTAATATAAACATTCACAACTCCCTTATTATTTATATTTTTGGTCCGATTTAGTTCAAACTGTCGCCATTCTGTTTCTTTTATTTTTCTGCTTTCATGCCAACGAACTTATTACTATAAGGTTGGATTACCCTCTCTCTTTTTCTCTGGAATTAATGTGGCCCATCTTATAGATCCCCTCTAAATACGGCTCGTACAAGTTACAACTGACAAACTGATCTCTCGAAGAATGACAAAGACTGCCGAATTGACCCAGACACCGTGCACGCGCCCAAGACGAAAATCCAATTGAATCCCCATTGAATGTCCCCATTGAATCCCAATTGAATACCAATTGGCATTTTGGAGTAGGCCTACATGGAAAGTGAAACAATGGGTACCTATTGAAACCAATTGGCAATTGGTCCCCATTCAAACCAACTGGCAATTGGTTTTAATGGGGACTAATGGCCAATTGGTTCCAATGGGGACCAATTGCCAATTGGTTCAATAGGAACCCATTATTTCAATTTCCATGTACTCCAAATTGCCAATTGGTAAATCGATCCAGGTAGAAGATAAACTGATATTTCATAATCGATATTGGCAACTGTCCACCAATTAGGTATATTCTATTCTTAATTGTATTAACTCCATCACATAGATCATCTGAAGTGTATTCAAGAGAAACATTTAAAGTGACACAGGCTCGTACACAATCATATATATACTAAATATGTATATTGTTTCTTGGTTAGTAATCATATAATCATTGCTAAAACGTGAATGTAATTGTAACATGATCAGACAAAATAATCTAATTGGTTCATAATTGCCGAAGGAAAACAGAAATCACAAAAAATGATGTGCATTGTCTTAATTTGATAAATATATTTTTCTGTCACACGTGTAAAGTAATAATGAATGTGCATGAGATGCATAGATCTGTTGGCTTTCTATTGGTCTTATGGGTCCTATTGGTTTTTTTTATTTGTCCAATTGGTTTCTATTCAACATTGGTCCTATTGGTTTCAATTGGCCCTATTAGCCTTTAATGAGATTTCAATTGGACCAATCGGCCCCATTAGACTTTAAAAAGGTTTTCAATTGGTTTCAATTGGACCAATTGAAGTCCAACGTCAGGCCAATTGAAACCAACTGGGGTCCCATTATCTGTAAAGCGCTTTGTGAGGGCCTCCGGTCCTGAAAAGCGCTATATAAGAACGAGCTATTATTATTATTATTAAAGTCTAATGGGGCCTATAGGCCAATGTGTCCAATTGGTCCAATAGGGACATCTGGACCAATTGAAACCATCTGAAGTCCTGAACATGGATTTTTACTGCATGTGCAGGGGCGTCGCTAGACCTTTTTCAGTGGGGGGGGGGGGGGTGTAGAGGCCAACGATTACCGACAAAACTACCCATAGGAAAGTGAAAAGTATGCCGCAGACCTGCCGCAGATCTGCGGCAAACTAAGTCTGCGGCAAAGAGTATGCCGAAGTATGCGGCAGAAGGAAATTTTGCTGCAGACTTGCCGCATACCAGTATGCCACAGGAACAGTCTGCGCCAGATCTGCGGCAGGATGAAACTTTGCTCCAGACTTGCCGCATACTAGTATGCCACAGGAACAGTCTGCGGCAGATCTGCAGCAGGATGAAGCTTTGCTCCAGACTTGCCGCATACTAGTATGCCACAGGAACAGTCTGCGGCAGATCTGCGGTAGGATGAAACTTTGCTCCAGACTTGCTGCATACTAGTATGCCACAGGAACGGTCTGCGGCAGGGCGAAACTTTGCTCCAAACTTGCCGCATACCAGTACGCCACAGGAACAGTCTGCGGCAGGTCTGCCACAGAAATGTGGGAAATTATACAGTCTGAAGCAAGGCTATAGGCGGCCATTTTGTAGGACATGCAGTACCATATGAGGTTGAAGGTTTGAGCCCATGATCTTGTAAATTCCTGTGTTAATTAGCACTGTTAATTGTCTTTTTAGCTTCTGTCAAACCAAACAATTTGCTTCAAGTTCAACTGGTACCATAAGAGGAATTTATTACATAAGAGGAGACTGAGGAATTAACGGACTTTTCAAACTTTTTTGTTGTGCCATATGTGATCTTATCTTCAGCCCCACTAACTCACTTTTTTGTTGTAACTACCCAAGACGAAAATCCAATTGAAACTAATTGAACACCAATTGAATTTTCAATTGGTTTCAATTGGTCTCAATAGGTTTTAACAGGTTTCAATGGGACTTTAATAGGACTTCAGATGGTTTCAATTAATTGGTCCAGATTGTCCCTATTGGACCAATTGGACCCATTGGCCCCATTGGCCTAGGCCCCATTAGACTTTAATGGGACCCCAATTGGTTTCAACTGGACCAATTGGTCCAATTGAAACCAATTGAAAACCTTTTAAAGTCTAATGGGGCAGATTAATTGCCAATTGAAATCCCATTAAAGTCTATAGGGCCAATTGAAACCAATTGAAACCAATCATCTCATGCATATTCATTATTACTTTACACGTGTGACAGAAAAATACATTTATCATGATTTGTTAAGCAAATTAAGACAATGCACATCATTTTTGTGATTTCTTTTTTCCTTTTGCCATTATTAACCAATAGATTATTTTGTCTGATCATGTTACAATACACCAGTTTACAGTTGTATCAGAGCGCATGCGCAGACAGTTGACCTCGGGTCATTGGCCCCGGAACGGGGCCAATAACCTCTGACCTCTGGTATTTATGCGTAAATTAAGATTGCGCCCATGCAAATGATGATGTGCGCGCACAACGCAGCGCGTAGGGCAGTGATATCATCAAAATTTGCATGGGCGCAATCCTTATTTACGCATAAATACATGACCTCTAGGTCATTGGCTTTGTTTAAAATGGCGCACACAACTGTAAACTGGTGTATTACGTTCACGTTTTAGCAATAGATTGATAGATTGATATTGATTATATGATTACTAACCAAGAAACAATATACATATTTAGTATATATATAAGTGTACGAGCCTTTGTCACTTTAAATGTTACTCTTGAATACACTTCAAATGATCTATGTGATGGAATTAATACAATTGAGAATAGAATATACCTAATTGGTAATATCGATATATATTGGTATTACCTAATTGGTAATATCGATATTGCCAATATCGATTATGAAGTATCGATCAGTTTATCACTGGTTCTTCTACATGCATACTTTATTGCCACGTACTGGATATGAAAGAGTATGCGGCAGGTCTGCAGCAGGTCTATATGAGATATGAATATTCATGATGAAGAGTCTGCGGCAGACCTGCCGCAGACTCTTCATCATATACTGAAAGAGTATGCGGCAAGTCTGCAGCAAGTCTGCGGCAGACCTGCCGCAGACTCTTCATCATACTGAAAGAGTATGCGGCAAGTCTGCGGCAAAACTAATTTGCATGTGAAAACGATGACTGTCTGCGGCAGGCTCATTTCTTTCCTAGCCACCAATTACCGACAAAATTAGATTTCCAATATCTACAAATTCAACCGTATTACTCTGGGGCCGAAGGCTAAATTGTTTTTCAGATGGACTATCTATCGATCATACTTGCATAATTATGTGCAAAATGGTCATTTTCCTCGACAACATAAATATACGAATTATTTCTTCAATTTAATCAGCATCATAGCTATATATTTTAATGCAGGCGCGGAGCTAGGATCTTATTTTAGGGAGAGGCGGCAGTGAGCAAGAGAATCACTTAAAAGCGCGCTCATTAGGGGGGTGTGGGTGATGGGCCTCCCGCACGAAGCGCGGAAGCTTTGACGTTTCATTAAATTATTAGAGAAAGAAGACGATTCGTCGTACCGTTTTTTACTCTTAAAAGGCCCTATTCATCTGAATTCAGTTTCTCCCTCTCGCGCGAAGCATTGACGTTTCCTTAAATTATTAAAGAAAGAAAACGATTTGTTGTACCGTTTTCGACTTTAAATAAGCCCTATTGATTTCGTCTGAATTCAGTTTCGCCCTCTCGCGCGAATTATTAGAGAAAGGAGACGATTCATTGTACCGTTCTCGACTCGTCTAAATGAAGTTTTACCCTTCTAAATTTTTGGCGTTTCATCACAATAGAGAAAGGATGACGATTCATCGTACCGTTTTCGACTCAGTTACCCCCACTCGCGCGAAGGCTTTGACGTTTCCTCAAATTATTAGAGAAAGAACAAGATTTGTTGTACCGTTTTCGATTCTAAATAAGACCTATTAATTTTATCTGAATTCAGTTTCCCCCTCTCGCGCGAAGAACGGAAGCTTTGACGTTTCCTGAAATTATTAGAGAAAGAAGACGATTCGTCGTACCGTTCTCGACTCGTGTAGATGAAGTTTTCCCCTTCCGCGCGAAGCGCCGAATTTTTGGCGTTTCATCACAATATAGAGAAAGTAAGACGATTCATCGTACCGTTTTCGATTCTTATTAAGCCCTATTCATCTGAATTCAGTTTCCCCCTTTGACGTTTCCTTAAAATTATTAGAGAAAAAACACGAATCGTTGTACCGTTTTTGACTCTAAATAAGCCCTATTAATTTTGTCTGAATTCAGTTTCACCTTCTCGCGCGAAGCGTGGAAGCTTTGATGTTTCCTTAAATCATTAGAGAAAGAAGACGATTCGTCGTACCGTTCTCGACTCGTCTAGATGAAGTTTTCCCCTTCCGAATTTTGGCGTTTCATCACAATATAGAGAAAGGAAGACGATTCCTTGTACCGTTTTCGAATCTTATTAAGCCCTATTCATCTGAATTCAGTTTCCCCCTTTGACGTTTCCTCAAATTATTAGAGAAAGAACACGATTCGTTAAACCGTTCTCGACTCGTCTAAATGAAGTTTTACCCTTACGCGCGAGGCGCGGAATTTTTGGCGTTTCATCACAATATAAGAAAGGAAGACGATTCGTCGTACCGTTGTTGACTCTTAAACCTTGTTTGAATTTAGTTTCCCCGAAAATTTTAAACCTCTTATTTCTTTAGCTGATATTATAGGAAGGTGAAACTTCGAGAAAATACAAGTATTGTAGTTGTAGTCACTCTCGAAGTCGTCACAGTGGATAAGAAGTCACAGTTCGTAGGAAAAAAACTTGTCGGCTGACCGACAATATACATCTCACCGACTTCAAACTTCTGCATTGATATAGTACACGAGGACCGAGCAAGAATACCGACACAGCTGACCCGACACAGCTGTGGGTAGTAATGAGTGCAGCTACCTGTACATGTATGATGGCAGCATCAAGGTCTGGAATAGTGTAGTCACAGCCGGGGATAGGGCATTCTAAGATGGACAAAATTGATAGTCACAGTGTTCATGAATAAGATGGCTGTGTATATGTGTCAGTCAGTCACAATACGTGGACTTTAACAATGAACATGGTCTGTAATGAAACAAATGTTACTCTTGATTAAAACATAATCCTCTACAAAGAAACACATTGTGAATTTGTTGTTGGTGTTTAACAACATTTATTTGCACATATCATTTCTGTGTAGCATCATAGATGTAAGAGAACATATTTTTGATAATAAACATATTATATTATAAACATATTTATATTGCCAATCAATTGAACTGCAAGCTTCATAAATAACTTAACTATTTTTTTACATGTTAAACAAGGCATATAAGATTTAAATCATCAAACCTTTCTTCTGAATCAGGTAATGTAGGCCTACTAGCTCTAAACTTTAAACACTCACCCTTTCTATCATTTCTCACAAAGAAATGTAGGGTTTCTTTAATATCTCTCATTATTTGATTTGATATGATTTTTGATTTGTATTTACCAACAGCAATACAGTAAGACATTTCATACAATGATATTTACACATACGAGAAGAGAAACTATTGGTTGGTAAAAGGCGCCGGATAATAATAGCACATGTACTTGTTGAGCTTAACCCCTTTAACAGCTAAACAAAGTACTTTGGTACAAATCAGTTAAGAAAACGAAAAAAAAACAAAGCTTATGTATTTACTAATACAATCGATACTTTAAAAAGTAATAATATTTAATAAAGATCTTACAAAGTGTAAACTGATAATGTAAACTATAATTTGTGTTCATATGCAGTCTATTTAACTTGATAATTCATTCGTGATTTGCTCTACAAATGACTTATAATAGTCTTCAAATAGTAAAAACGTGCACTCCAAGTAGCTACTATACTTCTGCATAACTTTTTCTTACATTTATAGTCTTCGTGAATTATAAGCTTGAATCTTCAAGCTAAGTGTCCAATGTGTTAAAAATTAAAGCAATAATGGTAGTTATCATTGAAGTAATAACTGGTTAGAAGTCTTGGGAATGAAAGATACAATCAATGTGAAAAGTGAGCCTCAGAGAAATTTGAACAAAATGGCCTTTTTAACAAAACAAGAAAAGAGTACAAAGCCGAAAATTGTAAACCATAATTTTTTCCTATACAAAGTGAAGATTCAACTAATATATAAACCAGATGGACTGAAAAATAATCACCAGGCTTTTGCCTATTTCTGTTAAGCAATTAGAAAATCTCTATCAAACATACAACAAATAATGATAAAAACATTTATTGTAATAAAATAAGCGAGGATTATACTTGTTGCTACAAGTATGCTTTCGTGCTCCAGTAACTTTGAAATATCGCAGAACATTTGAGTATATCTTTGGAAATAAATCCATTCAGTGAAATGTTACAACTAATCTGTACATTACATGGCATTCTCTTCATGTAACAAACCATATATGAAGGAATTGAAAAAAATGAAATAAACATTACCGGTATTTATATTTACAATTATGAGATAAAATAAGAATGACTTTCATTGCACTGCACAAATCGTTTAAATGATAAAAAGATTTGAGTCTCCTGAAGATTGTAATTCACTTTTTTGATAAGTACATAATGATAAGTACATAAAAGAAAAGCTATATGGCTAAACATTAAACTATGTATTTGTTAAAGGTATAGACCAGTTTTGGAGACACCCCCATCTCAAAAATGAAATGAAAGCTCTTATTACTAATCATGTGAAAGAATATGTTTTGACTAATATTTAATGATACAATTTTGCCGGGAAACCACCTACTAATTAATATACTTGGTGAATTAATATATCTATCCGCACCAGATAGATATCGCGCACGTGTCGCGTAGTCCAATATACATCTTTCTGTGTACAGTGCTTGTAACTTTACCAAGACTGGGCCAAATTTCTTATCATTTTGATGATTCCAGAACCTTGCAGTACACACCAATACTTATATGCTAGATGATAAACCTTTCTGTTCGATTCCACAACGTTTCTTTCACAATACAATGGCAAGACCAGAACTGGTCTTTACCTTTAAGTGTTACATTTACAATAAAATTTGTGTTTGATCATGTAGAGCAGAGTTAGAACATCATCAAATATCTCAGCTGCAATTTCAAGAACTCTATTCTCAAACGTGAAGAATTTTACAATAACAAATGCATATTGCAAGATCAGGAACAATTTCAATATGATATCGCTAAACCCTGCTTCACATTATACATTACTTTGAATGATATTACATAACATTATTTCTGAAATCAAATGATTACTCTTTCATTTTTGTACTGGTTGGTGTTCCTGCACTTCTGAGTTTATCAGAGATCTCGATCTTCCTTAAGCCTGCCACTCACATCGTGTGGTAAACCATTGTAGCAAAATAAAATGCTTCAAATGTGTGAATTTCATACCACAAATGTAATCACACCTAGGGAGCTTTTTTGTTGGCAGCTTCTTATTTTCACCCTCACATCCCGGTCATTTTCATACAAGAGAAATTTGATTCTGCTGCAGCAGTTTATTGATGCAGAGCACCCTGTCACGTGTGTGCACTGATTCTCCCATAGCTTTGTTATTCTATTTCTCCTTTTCATCATCACCATCAATGGATTCTTCATCCTCTTCAGGGAGTTTCACTAACTCGGCTAAAGCTTCCAGATCGATATCTTTGATGGTGAAGATGGAGGTTGTTTCGCTCCACTTCTTCTTATGAACCTTGGCCTTGTTGGGCAGCTCGATGACTAGATGCTTGATAGCGAGTAGAGGCAGTTCATGCTCTCTGAAGATCATCATGAAGCCCAACGGCTTCTTGCATCGTTTACACTGTACCTCTTTAGACACTGTTACATCCCCATACAGGTTCTTCTCCTCCTGCAGTCTCTCAGTGATGACGCGATCCAGGAAGCCTTCCCCGATGACGATGTGGTGTTGTCCATTGATGGACCTGATGTCATCTGTGTAGCAGGCGAATTGACGGCAGTGTTTGCAAAGAAGTTTGACTTCTCTATGTAACTTTTGTCCGGATTTCTTCTTCTCAGCAGCTAGTCGACCAGACATGTGTAAGGATCGCTCGCTGGCATCTAACCTCTGGAGTTCAGCAATCTGAAAAGTTCATCAGAAAATGGCTTATTTGATAGTTGGTACATGACCTTTAAATTGGTCTAGAGATTAAACAATGATCTCGGGACTGACAGTGTCAATTATTGCAATTGTTTTCGTAGCATTAGGGTAAAATTTATTTTGACTTATCCTAGATCTCGGCATATTTCTCATTATCTGGTCAGGCTTTGATAATACACCTGAATAAACATAGATAAATGAAATTGATCTGTATGTCTGAAATCTTCCAAAGACATTAATAACACAGTACATAGTCCAAGAAGGTACCAACCTTCTGTTTATGGTTAATTCTAATGAAAATTTCTTTATGAAGACAGCAAAGCTGGAACCTTTGTTCAACTGTATTTTACAACATTTGATATCCTCTTTGTGCATGCACTAAGTTATATTACTCATATCCACCACGCAAGGTGCTCAAGGCATTCTCATATTATCCCAACTGTGGCTTGGCTACTGATTTGTACCTCACAGCATTTAAGGAATTTCCTACCGGGTACCAAATAACCAAAACTATGTGGAAACAGTGCATGTAGATCAATGCCTTGCCAAATGACATTAGTGCTATGCAGGGACTTGGACTCAACTTACCAATATCCAGTCAAGTGCTTCCCTAGTAGTTTTGTGTGTTGCGAAAATATATTTTTTCCCTATTTTTTTCCTATTTTTTCCCTATTTTCTGGAAATGCAGACTATTTTTTCCCTATTTCCTTCAAGAAAATAGGAAAAAAATAGGGCTATTTTTTTCCTATTTTCAAGCACAAACTATTTTTTCCCTATTTTTTTCACCTATATTTTTTTTCAGACTATTTTTTTCCTATTTCCTATAAAAAAACAGGGAAAAAATAGTCCTATTTTTTTCCTATTTTCAAGTACAAACTATTTTTCCCTATTTTTTTCACCTATATTTTTTTCAGACTATTTTTTTCCTATTTCCTATAAGAAAACAGGAAAAAAATAGTCCTATTTTTTTCCTATTTTCAAGCACAAACTATTTTCCCCAATTTTTTTTACCTTCAACTTTTGTGGACTATTTTATTCCTATTTTTTTAAAAGAAAATAGAAAAAAAATAGTTCTATTTTTTCCTATTCTCGAGTACCAAACTATTTTTTCCCTATTTTTTCACCTTCATCTTTTTCAGACTATTTTTTGCCTATTTTCTCAAAAAAAATAGGACTATTTTTTCCCTATTTTTTCATCTTAATCTTTTTCAGACTATTTTTTCCCTATTTTTTCACCTTAATCTTTTTCAGACTTCTTTTTACCTATTTGCGAGTACTATTTTCTTCCTATTTTTTGCACTTAAATTTTTTATGACATGATACAAATTTGTAAACTATTTTTTGTCTATTTTCTAAACTTTCATATTTTCATTGTTTATGACTGGCATCCTATTCAAAAAGCCCGCTTCTCCTGCCATTATCTCTGTTGTTCATTTTGCGACTTATTGGTTGTTTTTAGCTGTGGGGTCACATATTGAATAGTGAGCTCAAAGATGACCATAAATAAACAATGTGTAAAAAGAAAATGTACGAAATTTCAATTTTGTTCCTTTATTAATATTCTTGATTTTATTTACAAACTATAGTAGTGACTAGTGCACTCAAAGATAACCATACATAAACCATGTGTAAAAAGAAAATGTACACATAGAAATTTCAACCAAAAAAAATCTCCTTTATTAATAGAAAAAAAAGCATTCGATCGAGATATTCCCGTTCTATGTGTGCGCAAAGTTTCAACGTAGAGGACAGTACGCAAGTACGTAATTTGAAAATTACCCGTTATTTTTTTTCCCCACTGGCACTGCTGTGCGCATCGGACTTTTGCTGATTTTCGTTCATCAAACGTCTCCAAATCACACCAAAATGTCTTCCAGCAATTATTCTAGCGATGAAATTTCATCAAGAGATAGTGACTCCTCATACTCCGATGCCTCCTTATCCCATTTTAGTGATTCTTCCCAAGAAAATGAGCCCGACAAATGTTCAAAATATTACTAGATCTAGTCCCACTCGTAGAGAAACGAGTTTGTTGTCGAATTACGGACCATCGACGAGCGGAACTGGCCCCAGAAAACTGCTGAAAAGGTACGTTTATTTCTGAAACTTAATTATATTATGATATATATATTTTTATTGTGTCTGTTGTTGAATATAATGCTACTTCATAGACATAATAGGCCTATACTATAGAATGTTATTTTACGTATCAATATTCCCATCTAGGCCTACTAGTGTTGAGGTTGTAGACTACACAACTTCTTAGTGAAGTGTAGTGAATCTCCAAGTGCAGTGTAGTGTCTGTTAGTGAATGAGTGAATGTAAACAAACGTGATTACAATAAATCCACGTAAAAAATTTCAGATTTTGTACCATTACTACGTCTGTCAATTATTTTGCCTTGCATGATATAATGTTTTGATGTGGTTTTAGGCTAAATTGTATCTCAAATTATTTTTCTAGGAATCAGAAAACACAACCTGCTAAAGCACCACGCAAGAAGAAGAGCAAGTCTTCCAAGTCCGAGAGTGTGTCTGCGAGGTATGTCCTTACTAAGTAGAAATCTAAATCTATTGTTGATAATTTTTTGGGGTTTATTTATTTCATGTTTGTTAGTTAAGATCTGACATCAAAATATTAGAGTAGTTTACCTCATCATTATGCTAGAACAATAATTTGCAGGTGGCACAAGTTCTACCTAGATCTACATTATTTTTCTCTTTCCTTTTTATTTTTTTCTTCAACAAATTGTTCCTTTACTATTTTCTTTTCTGTGTTTTATGTTTTATTTTATGTTCACCCAATACATGTATATCTAAGAATAAAATAACTCTAATTAATTGCCTACCTGAGTGGTTTACATTTCATGCACCTTGACAGCTCTTTGATGACTCCGTTGTTTCACCATCCGTTCGTCGTCAGCCTGGCATCTTTTTTGCTATCATACTTTTGTACACACATGTTCTGTGCCTTTGAATTTTTCATTATGAAATACATAAATACTTGTACTAAGTATTAATTGCATGTTCATAAATGTACCAATGCATGATTATTCTAACCCCTAACTCACATTTCATTTATATCTTTACAGATCAATTGAAACTAATCAAGCTACAATGTACATGTAACGTACAATCACCATTCGATGCCTGTGAACAGCATGACCAACATCTGTATCCTTTACATTAGTATTTGTTTCCATTTTATTATGTAATTCTTATGTCTAATCATTGAGATTCATAGGCAAGTACAACATGTATGTGTACACAATGAGTGCCTGCATATTGTGAAGATAAAGGACCATAAGACCATTACTTATGATACATGGTAATGATGGTATACTTTGTAAAACTATTTGAAAATAGTAGCATGTAAGTCTGTCATTTTCTTGTTTATATATATCTCAATGACATGACATGTCATTGATTTTGTAGTAAGTGTTTCTAGATTATGATGATTGTATTAAGATTTTGACAGTTCAATTGAGATTGAGAAAATTATGTAACATGTCAACTGTACAATAGAGCATGCATGCATTGTTGAAAAATCTGTTTTATGATTTATTTTATTTTGTTATCTTTGTAAATAACGAGAATTTTTTTTTTACTTGTCATGATTTTCTTGAGGTTTGAAAATATTATTACATTATTAAGAGCACTTTGCAATTAAATTGTAATAAAAGAGACAGAAAACAACACTCTCATGTCAAGAATACTGCTTTATTTGGTTACTAGTGAGGGAGAGAGCTTGTGATCGCCTGGCATATCCACATCGGCTCAGTAATAGTCCTGAAACTCAACTGAATACTTTATTTGAACAAAAATAGAAAGCTACATTCTAGGTGGATGATATTTTTTTAAGGCGGAGGCATATAGGAGACGCAGTCGCATTTGTCTTGTTTTTTTTTTTTAGAGTATAATCATAGCAAACCATGAACAACTCTATTACTACAACATGTACACTACAGTACTTAACCAAAGATTGTAAATATCAGTTAAGTTCTTTTATTTATTTGCTTACATGAACACACATACTATACTAAACTCATGTCATTGTGTTTACCTCTCGAAAATAAAGTACATGTATTTTATTTGACACGTTCCCTTTTATTCTTTTTGTTTGTTACAGTCCACTGCCATTATAACGAGGTGCTCGGGACCAAGCCAATTTCCTTGTTAAAATGAAATCATGTTATACTCAAGTTACTGAACACATTGGTTTGTTTAAAATTGGGACTGATGAGAATTGCCTGATAATAAAATCTTGGTGTATCCATGTTCGTTATAATAGGAGTGGACTGTATAACATTTTCCATATACCCATTGACTATTTTAAATGTTCTACTGAATGGATTGGACTGAAAGGATGAAGTGAATTTGGCAAACTGAGTAGGTGCATCGATGCAGAGAAAAGAGCTGTAGGAGTAGGGTGACTATTCTACAGTGGAAACTTTTGACAATGAGGTCATGTGCAACCAAGAAATCTTAACCCCCAAAAGCTGTTAAATTACCTTGTCATTTCAGGTATAACTGATCTCTTTATATCAAGTTTGCACTGTATGATTTAATTGAATGTACAGAGTCGTTGACTGGATGTGTGAGATGGTAGTGCTTGAGAAATCCATGAAAGTAAAGGATGAGTGACCCCCCCCCCCCTATTTCCTGACTATTTTTTTCTGATTTCCTCACTTATTGTCTATTTTTTTCCTATTTCCTTACTATTTTTTTCCTATTTTCTTACTATTTTTCCCTATTTTCTTACTATTTTTTTCCTATTTCCTTACTATTTTTTTCCTATTTTCTTACTATTTCCCCTATTTTCTTACTATTTTTTTCCTATTTTCTTACTATTTTTTTCCTATTTTCTTACTATTTTTTTCCTATTTCCTTACTATTTTCCCCTATTTTCTTACTATTTTTTCCCTATTTTCTTACTATTTTTTTCCTATTTCCTCACTATTTTTTTCCTATTTCCTCACTATTTTTCACTGTCCACTAGTTATCACTATTTTTTTACTATTTTCTTCACCATTTTCTACACTATTTTTTCCCTATTTTTTTCCTATTTTTAGGTCTAAAAAATAGGAAAAAAATAGGAAAAAAATAGAAAAAATTGTTTCAAACCTATTTTTTTCCTATTTCCAAAACTATTTTTTTCCTATTTTTTCCTTTAAAAAAAATAGGGAAAAAATAGAAAAAAAATATATTTTCGGGACTATTTTTTCCTTATTTTTCCCCTATTTTTTTCCTATTTTTTTACGACTGGGGTTATATTAATGGATTATTGACACTCGACTACAGCTACCACACAAGTAAGACTATACCACTCGACTATGACTCCTGCTAGATTATGACTACTGGTAACATGAATTATGACTACCACGCAGGTACCAATCCATTATGACTTAATTTTCTACAACTACATGTATAACATCACAATGTAATCCAAACCAAGACCGACTTACATTATCAAGGTATTCCTTATTTTGGTTCTTGATCATCTGACACACAGTCTCGGTAGCTTCCTCCATCATCATCTCACGACCTTTATTCATCCTCTCTCTGTCGGCTAGCTTGGGAAGGCGTGAGTTGAACACCAGGTAGAATTTTCCTCCCTCAGCTCTGCTTCTTCCTGCATGTCAACCAAACAAACTTATCAGAATAACTATGGCTTGATCTTCATTGCACCTCTTAGGACGTGTTCACTCACAATGCAGTAAATTTACCACTTTAAAGAAATAAGGTGTCAATATAAAGTGAATAGATGAAAAAGTAACTATTCACAATACAGGTCCCTACATATACTCACTTATCTGGGAGTATGCACAGTGTATATGGAACTATGTTATGTTACTTCATTTTGCAGTGGCAGATTTTATTGCCACTTTATTGGACCATTTGTTACTAGATGGATCTTCGACTGGGCGCAGTAGAAAATGATGCCTCGGCCATATAGCGATTTGACAAACCAAAACAGAAGCAATTTGTAAAATTCAGGTTTAATTGTAGGTTTTCAACATATCCTAATAACAAGCCATTTTTCACATGACCCTTTGATCTTTGACCTCATGACCCTAAAATCTAATCAGCTCATTGGCTGTGCAAGACACATACATGACGCAAGTTTGGCGGGTATCCATCAATTGGTTCTTGACATAACGCGGTCACAAGCTAATTTTGAATACATAATGGGCCCTAAGACCTAATTGACCTAGTGACCCCAAAATCTAATCACTTCATTGGGTCTGCAAGAGACATACATGACCCAAGTTTGGCGGTAATCCATCAATCGGTCCTTGAGATAACGTGATCAGGACATTTGGACGTACAGACAGTATGTGAATCGATGACATTCTTTACAACCTAAGTCAGGATAACTTACCTCTTGCTTGGACTCTGCCAATGTCGTCTCTGACGTAGTTGTATCTGATAACAAGGTTGCACATTTGAATATCCAGACCCTCTTCCGCTACAGAGGTCGAGATGACCAGCTTGTGTTTTTTCTCCTTGAACATGGCTAGCAACTGTTCCTGTTGGGTTTGGGTCATGCCTAAAGGTCAGAGAGGTCAAGACAGATAAATTATTTATTGCTCTGGTTTGCACTTGCAAATATATACTGACAATATCCTAATAATATATTTGGATTGATATATATCACTTAATGCAAAATAACATCTCTAAGAACTTTATAGATATCACTAAGAACTGTACAGTACAATATTACTTCGATAAATCGTTACATTCCGTTTACATTGTTATGCTCTCAACACTTTGGATTACTTGTTCTTCTTAAGCTATATCTAAAATGACGGCTGAGAACCTTTGCTCATGCAAATTCTTCGCTCTGGAATGCTCTCCCTCTAGATATTAGAAATAGCAGATTAGTTGCAGTGTTAAAAAGTAATCTAAAATTCCTTTGATTCAGTTGATAATCAATTGTTCTCTTTCTTTTATTTTGTTTGTTGTATCCTATACTCACGTTGCACTTTTGTGTATAGTGCTTATATGTGATTTTAATCTTTTGCACGAGTGCACTCGATCCTATGTGCGAGCGCGGACACCATATAGTGCTTTCTGTCTGCGATTCCCAAATGATCGAAATTTTCAGTCATTTTCCGACAAAGATAAACAGACAGTTTCTCAGATTTTCTGTGATGTTTTAACCAATCTTTACTCATACAAAAGGATAAGGTAAGAATTCTTGGTAGATTTTTGTTTCAATTCGGCATATAAAAGACATATCGACTGCTTTAATATTCCAGGTCTGGCTGATTTATAGGCTCTCAAGAACTTGCACATCTTGCCATGACCCCTCGGCACGTCGCCCACCCAGGCGCGCCTCTGGGTCATGGCAAGATGTGAGCGCGTTCTCTTAAGCCTATAAAACAGCCAGGCCTCTCCAAGCAGTCGATATCTCTATATCATTATTATTATGATTACATAATGATTGCCTTGGTCATCTGATTTTTTCATGCACACAATTTATGCACCATCTCCACTTCTGGGAAGTACACATATTCCTACCATATGGTAATTAGTGTCACCTAGGCTTTTGTCATCCTAACAGGGCCCTGTTTCTAAACCTACCAGTACTTCCACCAGTCCCAATGAGATGGCCAGGATTGAGGTCTTCCAGAGATGGAGTCTCTTGGATCCAGGCCTGTAAAGCTCTCGTAGAATCCCTGGTGTTGGTGAACAGAATGGCTAAGGTCTCTGGCTTCTCTTTGTATTCCTGGACCAGCATCTCCTCTAGACGCTGTAGGACCGGGTTCTGGTTGCTTGGGCCACTACATATCTCCTCTATCTGAGGTTTTATTTCTACAAAGACAACATGCAAAGAAATCAATCTGATATGTCTACTACATTTACTCTTATCTTTTCCTTCCTAACGTTTGACATTTATTTCTCTTTTCTGAGTTACTGTCCAACATCCCCAAAAGAGGACAAATGAACAGCTTTAATTGTGTTGATTTTCATTACAGAGAGCGATAGAGATAGTCCCTCTCTAACATATCCAGAACATATCCGCACACCTCATCACACATACAAGAAAACATGAACACATCACGGCGATCATTCATTCTCTACATTGGCTCCCCCTCCTATAGCGTATCAAATTCATGATTCTCCTGCTTATATACAAGGCCTTTCACAAAAGTCGTAATTAATGCACGTCGCGAGTTAGATTCAATGGGTGTTTAATACAAGAAGTCGCACCATGTGCTGCACAGTTTGTTTACCAGGCCACGATTGTGCTACTCTTGGCTTTTTTATTGGGTTTTTAGTAAATTCTTCACTTTATTCTTATATTGAATTGCATATATGATATGCTCTGCACTTGGTTAAGTCATAATGAGACAGACAATGAACTCGACAAGTCTTGATCATTATCCTTCTGTGACTTTACCTGCATGCACTGCATATTCACTAATGCATTTGCAAACATGTATTATTTATATATTATTATAGAGAGAGAGGGGGAGGGAAGGACTTCCTCATAAATTATGTACTGTGTACAACGCAATGTTATCACTTTGAGGATTTGTGAATAGTTAAGAATAATCCTTCAAAAAACACTTATACAAATTTTCAAATTTGGTAACATGACATTTTTCTTGCAAGTACGCTAGATTGACTCCTACCTTCAAAGAGTTTAATCAGTTTGTCCACAGAGTCCTGTGTGTTTTGTGTCGTGTCAATGAGATCTTGTATGTAGGAGTTGATATGGTTCAATGCATCCTTAGTCCTCGCATCTCGGTTGATGTACAGAGATTGGTTGTACATCTGGGTAAAGGAAAGAAAGTGATAATTCATGTACACTAATACTAAATCTACTGGTGAATCAAATGGCTATGAATAAAGGGCTGTTCTAATGTGACCAACAACGATAATTATATACCTCTCTTTAGAAATCTTGCCATCTGATTGGTCTCTAAATTGGAGTTGTGATTTTAGCCATGCCCGCCTATCGGTCAATAGTCTTTAACAGATGCCCGCATTCCCCGGTTAACGGGACGCATTAAATCAATTTTGATGAGATCCCCATTGGTTAAAGTGTTAGAAGTTTCTTTGTGCGAGCGTGGATACCATACAGTGCTTTTTGTCTGCGATTCCAGAATGATCGAAACATTTAGGCAACTTTCCAGCGAAGTTTTTCTCTGATGTTTTAAGCAGTCTTTAATCAAGGAAAGGATAAGGTAAGAATTCTTTGTAGATTTGTTTGTAAATTCGGTATACAAAAGATTTATTGACTGCTTCAATATTTGAAGCATAGCTGCATGTTTTTATACTGGCTCTCGGGGACGTTACATCCCCTTGAGCCTATAGAAACAGCGATGCTTCTCATAGCAGTAGATATATATATACTATCATTAACAAATCAGCCTCCTTCAATTTTGAAGTGAATGTAGAAAGGCATATGATGGATATGCCAGCATCTGAGAAAAAGAGAAGCTACATGTACATATTATAAAACTGGCTCAACCTTATTCCATTTGTTGAATATATAAAATGGACATCAAACTTTCCATTTTGAAAATGGAAATATACCGATATAAACATGTATCTCTGATAAATATATGAAGATGGAAATACTTAAGCATGTATTTACTGATATATAACTATATATCTATCCAAAATGTAAGCAACTACAAGCCAACCTTGAGGAAGTTAGCACAGTCCTGCAGGACTCTGGCTGTTTCACTGTCCTTCACTTTGACAGGGATGTATGCAAGTAATTTGGTAACCTCTCCTTCATATTGTTGAGTGCCTCGATGAGATGACATCTCTTTCATCTCTCGCTGCAATTCCAAAATCTTCTTACCATCTGTAAGAAAGGCATTAGTAAAAAAAATTAAAATGTTATTCATTATATCTTAATCAAACTTCATATTTGAAAGGACGTATACGTGCGGTAGCTCAGTGGCAATGCAATTGTCTCATAGCCAGAAGCTCCCAGGTTCCAAAAGATCAGAATCAAGTCCATGTCGATTCACAACATCTAGGGTGCGTTCAATCAAATTTTCGAAGCTAGAATCACAAACATGAATCACAAACCAAAACGCCGTTACAAAAAACGAGGTCACTGCGGTTAGCGTTCAACCGATTTTTCATCAACGCTGATTCTAGCTCATTTCGAGCCCAGCCACTGCGCATCACACTGCGCATCACACTGCGCAGTTTGATCCAGGAACTTCGGCTCGCGCTTTCTGGAATTGTTTACGGCCGACTGTCGACTGCTGTTTTGAGCATAGATCGCAATAATAAGACAAAGAATGAGAAGGTGATAGAAGGAAGAAACAAAGAATAACATAAGGAAAGACAGAAAGATAAAGTCGATAGAATGATTAAAACAAAGAATAACATAAGAGAAGGTGAAAGAAGGAACGAGCGAAGAATAACATAAGGAAAGACAGAAAGACAGAAAGAGAGAGTGATAGAATGCTTAAAACAAAGAATTACATAAAAGGTGATAGAAGGAAAAAACAAAGCATAACATAAGAATAGAAGGAAGAAACAAAGAATAACAAAAGAGAAGGTAATAGAAGGAAAAAAACAAAGAATAACATAAGAATAGAAGGAAGAAACAAAAAATAACATGAGGAAATTAAGACAGAAAAAGAATATTCAATTCAAGAGTTCTTTATTCGCTTTAAAAAGCACATATAAAAAAAAAATAACAAAAAATATACAATATATTCTACAAATAGGCACATTCACAATATATGTAAAGACAAAAAAAACAACATCAACAACAGAATACATGTATAACAGGGTAAGATCAGAGTGTGCATAAATACAAGATAATTTCCTCACACTCCTCTCGGTTAAGGAAACCCTTACATAAATAATCATCCCTCGAGTTGATCAATTCCTTTACTTGCTCAACTATGCGTATTGTCTCATCATTCACTTGGCATTGCACAGCCCACTGCTTTTGAATTTCATTGTTATCCATGAAGTACTTATCATTCAAGAATCTTATGTTACCTCCCAACACAGAATGAGCTCCATACTTGGCCATTCCAGCTATATGTGCCACTGTATAATTTTTGGAATTCATAGCTTTCACAACAAAAGATAAACATCTTTTTGCAAACCATAACTCTGGATCCATAACACCTGCTAAATAAGGCAAAAGATGACAGTGTGTCTGCCATGGAATTTTCCAAACCCTTCTTATTGCAACCCGCCATTGTCCACAAATATTATCAAAACATTTATCAAACAGAGGATATAACTGTGAGCCATAGAAACTCGAACAATATTTATGAAACAATATATTTCTTATGTGAGAGTTAGCATATTTGAAATTAAACAAAAACATATTACATTGTCGATTGAAATCTCCAACACACTTTGAGATATCAAAATCATTTATATTCTTAGAAATATCATTCCCTAGATGAGTTACTTTTGATGCAATATCAATATGTCTTCCATTTATCGTGATTCCTGGATCCATAACTGGTTTACCATTACAGCTGAAAACTATTAACTGACTCTTTTCAGGGTTAAACAGAATATCAAATTTAATGGCATAATCTAAACAAGTTTTAATCATTTCTTGAAGAGCAGTCACGCTAGGTGACAGCAGTGTCAAGTCATCTGCATAACCAAATGCTCCTGCAAAAACATTGCCCATAAAGCACCCTATCCCATTGTCACATAACTCTTCTATCAGCCCATCTAGATACAAACAGAACATGCAAGGAGAGATAACTCCACCCTGTTTAACACCATTTTTAACTGTAAAATAATCAGAATATGCATTGTTCCATTTCAACCTTAGCCTTTGATTCTTATACATATTAAGCAATAGCCTGCATATCATTTGGCAGACCCCTTTGCTCAGCATAATGTCAAACAATTTCACATAATTAACTCTATCAAATGCTTTACTAGCATCTAGCAATAATCCATACACATTACTCCCTTCATGATTAAAGTACGATACAGTTTCTTTAACCATAGCAGTACATAGTGTAGTTGATAACCCTGCTTTGAATCCAAACTGTAGGTCATTAGTCTGCAAGTTCCCTTCTTCCCTTTTCATAAAAAAGGAAGGAACAAAGAATGACATAAGGAAGAACAGAAAGAGAAAGTGATAGAATGATTAAAACAAAGAATAACATAAGAAAAGGTGAAAGAAGGAAGAATACAAAAATAACATAAGGAAAGATAGAAAGAGAAAGTAACAGAATGATTAAAACAAAGAATAACATAAAAATAGAAGGAAGAAACAAAGAATAACATAAAAATAGAAGGAAGAAACAAAGAATAACAAAAGAGAAAATGATATATAAAAACAAAGAATAACATAAGAGAAGGTGATAGAAGGAAAAAAACAAAGAATAACATAAAAATAGAAGGAAGAAACAAAGAATAACATAAGGAAAGACAGAAAGAGAATGTGAAAAAAGGAAGGACAAAGAATGACATAAGGAAGAACAGAAAGAGAAAGTGATAGAATGATTAAAACAAAGAATAACATAAGAGAAGTTGATAGAAGGAAGAAACAAGGAATAACATAAGGAAAGACGGAAAGAGAAAGTGATAGAATGCTTAAAACAAAGAATTACATAAGAAAACGTGATAGAAGGAAAAAACAAAGAATAACAAAAGAGAAAATGATATATAAAAACAAAGAATAACATAAGAGAAGGTGATAGAAGGAAAAAAAAAAGAATAACATAAAAATAGAAGTAAGAAACAAAGAATAACATAAGGAAAGACAGAAAGAGAATGTGAAAAAAGGAAGGAACAAAGAATGACATAAGGAAGAACAGAAAGAGAAAGAGATAGAATGATTAAAACAAAGAATAACATAAGAGAAGGTGAAAGAAGGAAGAATAAAAAAATAACATAAGGAAAGATAGAAAGAGAAAGTAACAGAATGATTAAAACAAAGAATAACATAAAAATAGAAGGAAGAAACAAAGAATAACAAAAGAGAAAGTGATAGAATTATAAAAACAAAGAATAACATAGGAGAAGATGATAGAAGGAAGAAACAAAGAATAACATAAGGAAAGACAGAAAGAGAAATTGATAGAATGCTTAAAACAAAGAATTATATAAAGGTGATAGAAGGAAAAAAACAAAGAACATAAGTATAGAAGGAAGAAACAAAGAATAACATAAGGAAAGACAGAAAGAGCAAATGATAGAATGATAAAAACAAAGAATAACATAAGAAAAGGTGATAAAAGGAAAAAAAACAAAGAATAACATAAGAATAGAAGGAAGAAACAAAGAATAACATAAGGAAAGACAGAAAGAGAAAATGATAGAAGGAAAACAAGGAATAACATAACGGAACAGGCCACGATGGTATAGTGAACGCAAATTGCATGCAAAGCGGGCGCGCGGTTTTTCCCAAACCGGAACAGGCTTCGTCATACAATCATGATTGAGAACTCCGTCCGTTCAATCGAATTTCAGCGACCGTGATTCTGCAGAACCATGATACAAAACGCATCTTTTTCAGCGTTTCATGTTTGTGTATTTAAACAAGTTTATTTTTACGACCGACGAAAAAAAATCGCTTGAACGCATTGCGTTTTAAACTAAACGTCTTTAGAAACCGTGATTCTAGGGTGAAAAAGTGTCTATTAAACGCACCCCTAGTTGCCTTTGATACAAGACATCTATCCTCAACTGAAGCACTTAAAGGTAATGCAAAGTTTTGGGAAATTTTGAAAAATTGGACAGATAGTAATTCTTTAAAATTTCGTTCTATTTGGATGCCCCTGTGGATGTATTATAAGCACTAAAAGATTAGCCCCCTAAAACACTTCTGCTTTCAAGCAAATTGAATAATCAAAATTTACTGGCGCTCCTGGTAAGTTCAAATATTTCAAATAGCGCCCACGGCCATTCCATTGTAGCTGCAACCATGGAAATTTCAGAGTATGCAGTTCTGATATATAATTTCTAAACAGGAACAGCAAATCAGTTGATTGTAGTCAAGAAATATTGTTTTAAAACTAAAGTAATATCAGTCTTGAGAGGGCGCTATACAGCATTTGTTATTTACAATTTCATCACTTTAGACTCGATTTCTACCTCGACATGATCATTGAATATTGTAGGATCGCATATGCTTCCAATATGTTCATTTGATCCAAATTCATGACCCCATACCAAAACTTTGTATTACCCTTAAAGCTGTAAATCTCTTTTTTTTGCTGATCTACAAACAATAAATTACTTTCTTAAAACCGTGTATTCAAAATTGACGTGGAAAACAGCTTTAACAAATTAAACATAACAAACAAATAAAAGAAATGCGGTGGCCAAAAAACAACACTGAAAAGGTATATGAATGATCAAGCACTTGGGGTGAAAAATAGAATCTGCCTGAGGGTTCTATGCATACTCCTTATTTCAGTATCATCAGACACAGAAATTTGAAGTGCACTTCAAAAATGATTTATTATTATTATTATTTTTTTTTTCTTCTTCATTTTGCCACAGCATTTAATAACCAAGTAAAACCATCGTCATCAAAACTCAAAAGGACAGAGGTCAGTAATGCACAAACTATATTTGATTGAATTAAAGCATATCCAAGTATAATTCTTAATGATTTTTCTCTTCAGATAATATATCTTACCAGAAGTTGAGAAGATAGCCAGCTCAATCCGATCCATTACTTTGCCTAGTTCGATCTTGAAAGGGTCACGATCATCCCTCCCTCTCACTCCAATTGTTTCTATAGACAGTTGCAGGAAAAAAGATGAATACACAAACTCATACTGCTTCTTATATATGATAAAATAGTAATGTCCTCTCTACATCAGTACATATGTCTATCTCCTAACTTATCCTCTTTCCATAAACAAACAATTTCTTGAAATTATGCTCTCAATCAAAACAAATAGTGACCTTCTTCCTTACAACTCCTAAATAAATGAATTTCAGGCATATTGTAGAATTGCAATTCGTCTTGATCATTGAGTTTAAATAAACTGTCATAACAAGTATTATTCTTTGTCCTGAGCCTAAGATATCTTAGGCATTGATATCACATGAGTTACAATGTAAAACTCTTCAAGCTTTCAAACGCTGATTTTATTGTTTACTCTTTTATCTTTCTTTCTTCTTTTAATATTGCTTTTATAATTTCATTTCTTATATTCACATATATTGTAATTTTTGATTTGTGACAGTGATGAAGTTACGGGGAGTAACTTCAAAAGGTCAATGGCCTTTGCTACTCCCTCACATCTACTCCATCACAGTGTCTGCATCATTTCTCATCTGTATCGTTTGTCTATTTTCTGCACAATGTTTATTGTTAATTGTTCATTTCTGCATACATTGTATTTTTTAAGAGATGTGAAATAACTGAATTTGAATTTGAATTTTTGAAATAAATGAATTGGGAGTAATATTGCAAAAGAATAACCTGTTGCATACCTTTACATTTTGGTACATGCATTTTAATAGTCCCCAGCTAGGAAAAAAACCCTGAATTACATGTAAGAAAATTACAAAATAAAACTGATACAAATAAATTGACAGAAAAAGAAACAAAAAACAAAACAGTCACTTTTGCTCACCTTCTCTAGGTGTGTGGTAGCTCCTCTTCAGACTGTCTTTATATTTGACAACTTTTGATATCTTCTCAGCATCTAGATTGGCACAGAGTTTGAGAACATGCTTCACAGCATCTGTCTGCCTCTTAGCCTTCTTCACACCTAGAGAGGCAGTCAGACCAACAACCTAGGTGGGCGGGAGATACGGAGCATGAGAGAGGGTGAGTGAGAGAGGGAGTGAGGGGGAGAGGGAGAGAGAAGAGGGAGGAAGGGAGGGAGAGAGAAAAAGGGATAGGGGAGAGAGAAAGGGATGAAGGGAGTAAGAGAGAAAGGGGAAGGGAGGGAGAGGGGAAAAACGAGAGGGGAAGAAAAGGATGAGAAGGAGAACAGTGAGGAAGGGAGGAAGAGAGAGAGAGAGAGGGAGAAAGGGAGCGAGAGAGAAAGGGATAAGGGAGAGAGCCGGAGAGGGATGACGGGAGGGAGAGAGAAAGGGGAAGAGAGAGAGAGGGAGAGACAAGAGGGGAAGAAATGGATGAGGAGGAAAGTGAGGAAGGGAGGGAGAGAGATAGGGGGAGGGAGAGAGAGAGAGGGACAAAGGGAGGAAGAGAGGCAGGAAAGAAGAAAAGGAAAGAGACAAAGATTTGAGGCTATGTATTTGACTAGCAACATGATGGGGAAGCATGGACTGAAATCATGAATAATCCAGAGCTTTTTCAAGACTAAATTTTGATTATTTATCAGCTATGAAAATAAAAGCGGTTCGATTCAGAAGCTCATTCTTACTTGTGGCAGAGTTGCTTGTATTTTCTTCTTGTCTCTGTAATAGGCCATAATGTTGTTGTACGCACTTTCTTTCTGTTCATAAAAAGTGAGAAAAACATTGGTTAGAAAATTTTAAAAATACTAAGAAAAAAAGTTACTGTTTGCAAAATCTGTTCAAAAAGGAATTCAGATGTCGAACATTAAAGGTAAAAGGTTTTGGAAACGCCCCCCTCTCAAAAAATGAAATGGAAGCTCTTATTACCAATCATGTGACAGAATATGTTTTGACTAATACGTGGTGATACAAATTTTGCCGAGAAGCCTATACTAATTGATATATTTGGTAAATTTGGTCTATTTGGACCAGATAGATATCGCGCACGTGTCGAGCACGTGTCGCGCAGTCCCATATACATCTTTCTGTGTACATTGCTTGTAACTTTACCAAGACTGCACCAAATTTCTTATCATTTTGATGATTCCAGAACCTTGCAGTACACACCAATACTTATATGCTTGATGATCAACCTTTTCTGATCGATTCCACAACGTTTCTTTCACAATGCAATCGCATGACCATAACTGGTCTTTATCTTTAAGAGTTGTGATTACATATTACTTTATGAATGTCTCATTTGGTCCCATAACCCAATAGCTAGTTGCAGATCCAGGATTTTGTAAGAGAAGGGGCAAAATATTCTTGAAACGTCTGTTGAAAAAAAGAAGTCTTTATTTCAAATTAAAGGAGAGCCACATTTTTAAACTTGTTTATTAAAGGTATGACACTGACTTTCCGATAGGCGTGGGGGTAGAAAGTTCTGCCCACATCCCCTTAATCTGCCAGGATATTGGTCCCAGATCTCACTGAGCCTACATGTATGACTTCCATGTCTAGATAAAAGTTTGTTAACACCAAACCAAACGCAAATGGGAATTAGGACCTATGGGACCTAAAAATGCAAACGTTTCACCTAGTCCATTGTAGAACCATTGGTTCATATGACCACTCAAGATACTCTAAAACCTCTCTTGATTATTAGGGGAGCATGAAAAGGGTTATGTGGTCCTCCTATTATAGGAAGACGGAGGTGGGGGTCTTGTTAGGAGAGGCCAGTAAATCCATTTGTCTGTTCTACCATTCATCTAAGATGATAAGAGGGGACCTTGGAAAAAGTAATGCAACCCTCCTAAGGATGGAGAGGAGGATGGAGGGTTTGCATGGTCCAGCTAGTTTACCTGACTGTGTGACATTAGCAGAGTGTGTAGAGGGTAAAATAATCATCCTTAAAGGAAGTGGGGGAGGGGGGGGGGGGGTCGAGGTACCCATCTATAATGATAGGGCAAAACATCGAGGGTAACACTATCCTCCTATACAGGGTATTAACCCTTACTGACATTTTCGGAGATTGCGCCGAACCGCTTGAAATTTTGAATTGTCATTTCATGACTTTTTCTTACGCACATTTTTATACCATTTTCGTCAAAATCGGATACCTTTAAGGTGTTACATAACAATTAGTATGCGCATGTCATTAAATTGCTATTGCTATTATTGCATATATTCATGTACAAGCAGAAATGTGAATACAGGTTTCTTGGTAGATGTATTTCTTCCTAAGTGGGAGATATGAATTGATATCAAATTGCTTTTAAATGTTTCTCAAAGTAACTTGATGTATTCCAGAACAAAAGAATACATTAGAAATAAAACAATAGATTTGCATAAATTATCATCATTAATTACATCAAAATAACTATTTTGTGTTAGAAAAGAAGTTTCAAAAAGTAGAGTAATGATTCTCGTTCCCTGTATATTTCAAATTTGATATTCATGAATGCGTAATTTGCGTATTCATAATTTATGCAAATTAACCTATGCATTTTCAAATATCATAAAAATAATGAAACCTCATGAATTTTAGATGAAGGAAACATTTATTCAATACATTTTCAAGATTCTTCACAAGTCTACAGACAAATATGTAGAGTTTTCTGTAAAATGCATAAAGTTAGCATTTTGCATAATTAAATTAGGCTATAACGACAAAAATTTGCATATTAGGAAAAAACATATTATATACCATCTTATTCCTTACGTAAATTCTACAAACATGCACATTTTTATGTTCATCAGACATTCGATGGCCGAGATTATAGGGTCAGTGAGGTGCTCAAAATAGCCCAGTACAGTAAGGGTTAAAGGAGGATATTATAGTTTGCTCACCTGGGTGTTGTGGCATTCATCCAGGATGATGAGACGTAGCAAGGAGAGGGAGAAACTCTCATCATCCTTAAGAGCATTGAGAAGTATCTGTGCAGTTAGAACGATGACATCAGCGTTCTTTAGCTGACGAACCAACGGAACCTGAGATGACATGTCTCCGCTGATTCCTACAACATCAGGGATGAACTCCTGGAAGGCATTCTTCTGCTGCTCTACCAGGGCAACCTTGAATAATCAGCAGGATGGATCAACAAATGCATGAATTAGATAATAATAATACTCAGTTTTTATATAGCGCTATTACAATCACCAAGGCTTCCAAATTTGGAGATTATTACCACGGCTTCAGCTGTGCTGCCATTACAGTGCTCCAGCATTTCAAAGAATTACTTCCTGCCAGGTATTTACATCACCTGAGTTAAGTGTGGCAAATGTAGATCAATGTCTTGCCAAAGGACATTGGTGCCGCGACGGGTCTTGAACAGCGGACCATGTGATCGACAGTCCGGCGACTAAACCACTCAACCTCTAGATGACACTAGCAAAGCCTATAGATGCATGAAAAAAATAAATGCAGGATGGATTATAATTTGTTGTTGGTGGTCTAATGGTGTCATCTGACTTACCCAAGGACTACTCAATAAAGCAATAAAGCATAAAGCAAGATTAATGTACAGTTCTTCTGCAAGACATGGGCAATCGCCATTTTCCTCTAAACGTGACGGACTGTGTGAAGTCGTTTTAAGTAACTGTATTCAAATTTATGGATAATTTCCTCCCAAGTGTGTGTGGGGATAAAATATTTCATTCACCAGCTATTATCCTTTGTACTACAATTGCCAGATCTCAAATGGCATAAATAAGTTGGTGCTTTTAAGGGGTAAAGGTTATGCATAACTGAAATAGATTGTCAACTGGTATGTTTTAGTATTTTTAAATCAATTAACGTGTAACAATTGTTCCCCTGCTTTATATTTTTCACTAAGTCTAATATTTACCTTCTCAGCTATGAGTTTCCCTCATATTTTATAGCATAGAGACAGTACCATTGGAACATGAAGCTAGTTTAATAAGTGTCTCTACTGCCTCGATAAAGCAAAATATTACCCCCAATATGCTATTTAGATAAGTTATGCCTTTTCTTGCCTCTACAATTTGCTAATTAACGTAATAGCATCTGCCCACCTTATTCACAACAAAGACAACTTTGTTTGATGCCTGGCTGGCTCCTTCGTGCTCTTTCAAGGCTTTTATTGCGATGGCTACAGCCACCCGAGTCTTTCCAGATCCCGTTGGTGCTACGATGACCGAGTTCTTGCCAGCGAGGGAGTGCTCTGCTAGCTCCTCCTGGTAGTCATGAAGGTTAAGGCTCTCTATAGTCATAGGGGTACTCAATGAACTAGCTTCGTTACATCTCCCTTTGTTTTTGGTATCTGTAAATGAAAAGTTAACCTAAATGAATAAAATTGTATTTGAATTGTCATGAAATTAGACATTATAATGTTATAGTTTTGCTTGCTCCTATAGTCACTGATAAATAGTAATGAATTATTTTCACCAAATTTATTCCTAAAAGCAGAATGTTACTTTTACAATTGGCAACAGTTTTAAAGGGATCGTTTAACAATGTTAAATCTGAGATACGCGGTCCTACATGTTACCAGTGTCTGTGATATGGTGTAATATTGAAGCCCTAAAAAAAATCGCGCTTCAAAATGATCAAGAAGTGCCTCAAAAAAGTAAAAATCTTTGAGTGACCTGTTTTACCATACTCGTTTTCCCCAATAGACTGTAGTGTTATGAAAACCGTTCAGCAAACAGTTTTCAAAATTTGTAATTTCAATCATTAATATCTTGATAATCAGACAGGCGATCAGCTTGTAAAAGTCATGGAGTTCCTGACTGACCTAAAGGTTTATAATTATCATTGCAGCATGAGCTAAATCAAGGATTATTTCTAAAGGATCTAAGACAAAGTTACCGGATCCCTTTAAAGGAGAGATGAGGAGTCTTTCATATTCATAGTTATAACACTGCACGAGATACAAAAAAATGCAGTTTTGTGGGTACATCACAATCATTTGACATCATCTGACAAATTTGAGCTCTGAAACATAAAAAGCCTACTTCGAACAATGCCTTAGATGGTGTGACAATTACCAACACTAGCGCAGACTCAGAGCAATTTTACCTGCATCACTGCTTATGGATGAACTGGTAGTTTTAGATTTATCTGGTAGTTTCAAGAACTGTAGCATCTGGGGGACGTTGCCACCATCAGAATCTGCATCATCACCAGACCTTCCTGGCTGCTCACCAGACACCCCTTCATCACCATCAGTAGCATCGCTGGTATCGGGTTTATCTCCATTGTCAGGCTTGTCATCATCAGGACCTGGTTTGCCGTCATCATCATCATCATCCCGCCTCTTCTTGTCACGAGGGTCTTGCTTTGGTCCTCCATTATCATCATCATCATGGCCATCTGGGTTTCCACTGCTCCCAGCTCCTGCAGCATTATCATTATCATTATTACTATTATTATCTTTATTACCATCATTATCAGTATCATTGTTATTATAAATAGTATTATTATCATCATTATTACTTTTAAAGGCCGTCTAGTTTGGCTAGGAGGGATTAGACCACCCAGGGTGGTCACTGACAGGTGGCTATCTCATCAACTCAGCTCTAAATTAACATAAGAAAAAGAGGATCATGGGGGACCAATGATCACCGATTAGGCTTGTTTTCTATACCGGTATACAGGGAGCAAGTAACTTCAAGTAGTACAGTGGGGCTAATAATGTCATTATCTTCATTATCATTATATTATCATTATCATTATTATTACCATTATGCCGACCCTTGTATGCATCCTCCAAACTCTGGGCTAACAATTGGAATCCAACAATGTCTCGGAGTCCGTCGATCACCTCTTGAATAACTGTTGGATGTTTGGCTCCAAGACGCAAGAACAGCTCGCCACAGGCAACTTGCGGTCCGTAGTTTCTTTCAGTTGCCCTAACAGCCTCCTTGTCAAGGTTTTCAAAGCATTTTAAGAGGGGCAAGAGCTCAAGCGGCGGGACCGTCATTAAATCTTCTTCAGTGTCTAGGAGGAGATTTTTTAGTTCCCAGCTATCATCCAGTTTCTCTTTCCCGATGATCACATCATGCAGAAACTTATTTCCTGGTGTAAAAAATGAAAAGTTTGGATAAGTTTCTGTTTAGAACTTTGGATAACCTTGGAAAGTGCATCTTCCGAAAATGAAATCAATGTCTGAATGGCACATTGCTTAATTCTACAACACATGCTCTGGTGACAATGGCGTTGTTTTCCTACATTATTCCTCAAAGTTATTAATTTTGAATCTGGCCTATACACTGTATAACCCTATACCTACATGTACCTAACCCAAGAGGCTAGCTAAGACCCAAGTGCAACCCCAACTCTTACCCTAAAACTCTGATGAAATAAAGCCCAGGAAAATGTCAATGGAGGTAATATCAGGTCGATCACTGGCTAAAATTTATGTTTACATGTACCTGGGCCCTGGGGAGGGGAGGGGGGGGGGGTACTCAGATTTAGTTGGGAGGGGGTGTGCGGCTGAAGCGTCTGAACCCATACCCATTTTTAGGGGTCATATTTTGGCAGGAAATGGTACCCATTATTAGAGACTTCCATTCAAAACGCAACCCATGTTAAGGTTTTGCTGTATTCCATTGGCATGAATGATTTACACTTTCACATACCGTAATTCTTAATTTACTAAGTAACAGCTTTCCCAGTTCCAGAAAATATTAACCCATGTGTAAGGCCAAGATCGGAAAAGTTGGGGCACTTTAGGGATTTTACAGCGCAAAATCATACCCCATGTTCAGGAATGTTTTTCAAAAATTGTAATCCATTAGAGCAGCAATTCCCCGAATATACCATATTAGGCGAGTACCCCCCTCCCCTCCCCCCCAGGACTTGTAATTGAAAATTTGTATCTAAAGATAATAAGGAATACACCATGAGTCAGGAATGCATTTCATATGCATTCATATAAAACTATTCCACACAGGTTGAAGAAAACAAAATTCTGACGGATGATGAAAGGAAAAAAATAATTAATGAGCAATGTATAATTAACCAATCTCTGTTGACAATTAGCTAATATAACCTTTTACATGTACATTTCATACAAAGATGTGAAATACAAATTATAAAGATGTTCACAAATCTTTACCTCTCTCTCTCTCAAAAAGTTAAATTTGACAAAATGCTAGTACAACTATGTTGTATAGTTACCCATAGGAAAGAAATGAGCCTGCCGCATACTCCTGCGGCAGACTTGCCGCAGATCTGCAGCAGACCTGCCGCAGACAGTCATCTTTTTCACATGCAAATTAGTTTTGCCGCAGACTTGCCGCAGACTTGCCGCAGACTCTTCGTCATGAATATTCATATCTCATATAGACCTGCTGCAGACCTGCCGCATACTCTTTCATATCCAGTACGTGGCAATAAAGTATGCATGTAGAAGAACCAGTGATAAACTGATTGATACTTCATAATCGATATTGGCAATATCAATATTACCAATTAGGTAATACCAATATATATATATATATATATATATATATTACCAATTAGGTATATTCTATTCTCAATTGTATTAACTTCATCACATTGATCATTTGAAGTTTATTCAAGAGTAACATATTAAGTGACACAGGCTCGTACACATATATATACTAAATATGTATATTGTTTCTTGGTTAGTAATCATAGTTTCTTGGTTAGTAATCAATATATCTATTGCTTAAACGTGAATGTAATTGTAACATGATCAGACAAAATAATCTATTGGTTAATAATGGCAAAAGGAAAATAGAAATCACAAAAATGATGTGCATTGTCTTAATTTGCTTAACAAATCATGATAAATGTATTTTTCTGTCACACGTGTAAGGTAATAATGAATATGCATGAGATGATTGGTTTCAATTGGCCCTATTCAGACTTTAATGGGATTTCCTGTGGCAGACCTGCCGCAGACTGTTCCTGTGGCGTACTGGTATGCGGCAAGTCTGGAGCAAAGTTTCGCCCTGCCGCAGATCTGCCGCAGACTGTTCCTGTGGCATACTAGTATGCGGCAAGTCTGGAGCAAAGTTTCATCCTGCCGCAGATCTGCCGCAGACTGTTCCTGTGGCATACTAGTATGCGGCAAGTCTGGAGCAAAATTTCATCCTGCCGCAGATCTGCCGCAGACTGTTCCTGTGGCATACTAGTATGCGGTAAGTCTGGAGCAAAGTTTCATCCTGCCGCAGATCTGCCGCAGACTGTTCCTGTGGCATACTAGTATGCGGCAAGTCTGCAGCAAAATTTCATCCTGCCGCAGATCTGCCGCAGACTGTTCCTGTGGCATACTAGTATGCGGCAAGTCTGCAGCAAAATTTCATCCTGCCGCAGATCTGCCGCAGACTGTTCCTGTGGCATACTGGTATGCGGCAAGTCTGCAGCAAAATTTCTTTCTGCCGCATACTTCGACATACTCTTTGCCGCAGACTAAAAGTCTGCGGCAGGTCTGCGGCATACTTTTCACTTTCCTATGGGTATGCATGCATGGTATTTCTATTGTTTTTGTTGTTATTATTATGACTATGATTATAATTATTTTCATTATGATTACCGGTACTTTCATTGCCGTTATGTAAATGGTGAAACAAGCCAGACATTATTTATTTATTTATTTATTTATTTATTTCTGATATTTATACAGGTAAGCCTCGACTTGAGTTGAGAAGGTACAAATTAATGCAAATCACCTGAACGCTTAAGTGAATCCATGAATTTCTTAGCAACTCCTCTCTTCTCCTGCATTTGATCTAATGCTTGTAGCAGCTCTTCTGTTCCTTCTCGTCTACTCCTTTTGCTTGCATCAAAGATCAAGGAAAAACGAGGACCTAATGTGCACATTTAAAAATAAATGATGAAAAAGGAGGTAAAAGATAGCTGTTGAACTTTAATAATATTAAATAATAATAGATAGTTCTTATACAGTGCATCCCAGAAAAAAAAGAAACCAAGAATTATCGATATTTTATCATAACTTAATCACATTTATAATTGATAAATGACACATATTTGTAGAGCTTAGATCCTCCTCTTTCATTTGATTCAACTTATATAATGCATATTTCATGCATGAGTGATTAAAATTAATTTGAAGAGAGGAAACCAAAAAGTGATTTGGCGGACGGTATCCGAATTTCAAAGAGAAAATCACATTTCTAGAAAGTTGAGTTACTGCTCTTTCATATGACACCTCAATCAGGAAAAATGGGCTAGGAATAACAAAGTTCTGTTAGTTTAAAATAGTGCTTGCATTTCCATAATTTCATTACGATTTTTTTTCACTGGCTCCCTGCCGTAGCAACAAACGGAATTAAGAAAAGGCTGAACTCCGTTTTGTTGACAATCAGCCGTAGACGAAAGACTTCATGCATGGCTGATTGTCAACGAAACAGAGTTAAGTCTTTTGTCAATTTTGCTTTTTGCTTCGGCAGGCAGCCAGTGAAAACGAATTTGATTGATAAAATTATGGAAATGCAAGCACTACTTTACACAACAGAACTTTGTCATTCCTTGCTCATTTTTCCTGATTGAGGTGTCATATGAAAGGGCAGAAACTTAACTTTCTAGAAATGTGATTTTCTCTTTGAAATTCAAATACCGTCCGCCAAATGACTTTTTGGTTTCCTCTCTTCAAATTCATTTTAATCACTCATGCGTGAAATATGCATCATATGAGTTGCCTCAAATAAAAGAGGAGGATCTCAGCTTTACAAATATGTGTCATTTATTAATTATAAATCTGACTAAGTTATGATAAAACATCGATAATTCTCGGTTTCTTTTTTTCTGGGACGCACTGTATATTGCGTTTTTCAGGACCAAAGGTCCTCTCAAACAGTCACAGCGCTTTACAGATATCTATATTATTACCCCGGTCATCGGATTCAGGCTTACCCGCACACAATGTGTGCACATTCTCCACTCCCTGGGGAGCATTCCAGCCAGGCATCATTTTTACAAGCGAACACTTGCTAATCTAAGCACATTAGCTTTCGCATCCTACCAGGTACCCATTTAACACCTGGGTGGAGAGTGGCAAATGGGCGCTTGTTCAGAAACCTATCCAAAATTTGACCCGTAACTCCGTCGTGGAGATACCCTACTAAAACATACCCAAAATGAAGTAAATATTCATTAAATATGATGTCCAAATAAAGATCATGAGTTAAAAGTCGTTATGTTTATTACCTGTTTCGTGTCAATTTTCTTGTTATTTTGGGGGTATTTTTCGGAAAAACATTGATATTAGTATACACTTTTTCACAGGTTTCAAGGCAAACCGCTGCACAATTCAAGTGCATACCAATGGTGGCGGGCGCGCGCCTGAGTGAAGTATTACGGTAGATAACTTTACACATCAGGCGCGCGCCCGCCACCATTGGTATGCACAGCAAATGTAGATCAATTATGTCTTGCCAAAGGATAGTGCTGCGGTGGGACTTTATGAAACCCGGACCTTATGTGATCCACAGTCAGGCGACATATCCACTCATCCACGACACCTCACTTTGACCTACAGCTACATACAGTATTGATACATCACTAGCTATAAGTTGTAAATAAGTGATACTTACCCAACTCAAATCGAAGGAAATTTGATACACATCTTGCATCCAGATACTGCACAAGGAGGTCTCGAAATACGTGTGTTATTATTTCCATCTCGACAGTTGGATAATTTTTACTTGACGCCTTTGACACTGTGCCTGTGGTAGAGCTGGGGCTAATTGCAACTGCAGTCTCTTGACCTCTGACAGATTCTGAAGACAAAGGGGTATCACTATCCTGTTCCTCCATTATTTGTCTCTGCTTGTTATTAGCAACTCGATGTCACTACACTGCCACTGCTATTCATCAAACCTGCAAATCAGACATGCATATAGCTGCACTGGAACTTGGCAGTGATGTAGACCGGGGATGTAGAATCTAGAAAAGAATATTCTCATCAGCTTCCTTACTAAATACTATAGGCGGGATGAGCTTGAAAAGTCGAATTGATCCCTGCACCTAGGAGGCCGGGTTCCAAAGTCTGCTGAGGCAAATCGAGTGAGAACAACGCCAAAATCATCCTACCAGTGCCTCAATCGCGTGTGCATGCATGAATTGCAGTGTGCTCCAGTGCGACACGTCATGTGACAAAGTGGGGATTCCCAGGTTAACATTGCGTCATCAGTGTACATGTAAACATCGAAGACATGTAATCGCGATATTTGTTTTCTATCATATTTAGTATTAAGCTCAACTGGTATTTCGCAACGTGAATTGGGAGGGTGAATTATACAATACTACTGGGAATCCCAGCATTAGTCATCTACTATAAATGCCTCAGATTTTTTAGCAGGCAAATCAAAACACCGATTTCATCGAGTTTGTACTAGCTCTCTCTCTCTCTCTCTGTCTGTCTCTCTCTCTCTCTCTGTCTCTCTCTGTCTCTCTCTCTCTCTCACACACTCTGTCTGTCTCTCTCTCTCTCTTTCTCTCTCTCTCTAGCTCTCTCTTGCACTCTCTCTCTCTCTCTCTTGCACTCATTAGTCTCTCTCTCTCTGCCTTTCAAATTACTACCTCATTTCCTTCTTCTAGCCGCTAGAAGAAGAAGGTGAGGTAGAGGCTCTACCAGAGCGCATGCTATATTCCCTATATCACCCATGTTTATATTTATATACACGTTTACTACATGTATTTGTATATTCTGTGAGTGTCTCAAAGAAATGATAGGAATTACATTCAAGTTAGTTTGAACCTAAGCTTGCAGGTGTATGTCTAATGTACCACGAAAGACCAACGGAGCCTTGTGTTTATTCTACATGCCAATTGATTGAGTTTTCCTAGATGTCTAATAGTTAGTAAAAGGTGATGTCCCTTTTAGCCACACGAAAGAGATTTATTTAAATACATTAAAAATGTTAAGGGTAATATATGTCCCATTTGAAGAAAATATTAAAATCAGGGTGGAACAACAGTGCAAGAGTTCACTATAAATGTGTGGAAATTTGATGTAATCAATCTTGGAGCTTGCGGTAGAAACCATGAAAGAAAGAAAGTCTAATTATGTATCAACTTTATAGGGGTATCCAACCCGGCCTAGCAGACAACTTCTCTTAAAGAAAGTAGAAAAAGAGAAGCAGGCTGGTGAAATTTTGAATGAAATTGGAAAAAAGCAAGTTATGATATGCTGAAAGTTATAATTACTATACGTATAGGCATCTTAAATAGGTTGTGGCACTTCGATGTAGTGCTATCACACAAAATGATTACAATTTCAGTTTTTCGTTTCATTTTTGTATATTCTTCTAAAAGGACCTATGATAATTATGCTATTTATTATATATGTTTAGTATAGGGCCCAAATTAGAGAGAAGGCACTTAGGAGAAAAATAGAAATCAATGTAATTTTGTACACAGCAAACGGGAGATCGAGTTGTGCATGATGACTAGTTCACAATCCCCGACCAAATTGGCAATTTTGGATTCACATAGATTTAGTGATCTCATAGACTAAAGTGAACATTCAGAACTCCCTTATAGTATTCATATTATTGGTCAGATTTTAAACTGTCGCCATTCTGTTTCTTATATTTGTCTGCTTTCATATACCAATTAACTTATTACAAGGGTTAGCATTACCCTTTAAACCTTTTTTTATTGCGTCTAAACGTGAGGAAAGTTGTGGTCCTTTGCTTGTGAGAAAGGGGACTTTGAAAATGAAACTCATCTTATAAAAAACAAGAGCCCCTCTCCATCTGAATAAATGACAAAGATTTGCCAAATTGACCCCGACATGCACCATCCGTAACACGTTTTCAAAAGATAATGCCTGTCTCATGCCCCCCCTCTCTCTATCTCTCTCTCTCTCTCTCTCTCTCCCTCTCTCTAATGATTATTGCTCCCTCAGTTTCTGAAACCAAGCCCGGCACTTCCTCTGAACATGGATTTTACCGAACTAGCTCAGTAAATGTCACTGCGCACAACGTAGTGCCAGACAACTTTTCCAGTTGTTTTAACACCCCGTGCTCTGATTGCTCAGGCACCCCTTCCTGTAAGTTGAGCTCCCCCTTTCCTCCCCCTTTAAATTAAATTAAAAAAAAAAAAAAACCTTTCCTGGCAAGCACAGCGCGTACCACCGTGTAGTGTTGATATGAATGGGGGAAAAGGGAAAACCCCTACCTTAGTATGACGTCAGCTGTACGCCCTACGCCTAATTAAGGAACGGTGAGCGCGCGCTGCGCACGGATTGCATGCTACATACATGAACAGGTCACGGCAAAAATAGCTTTGTGTTACGGAATACCACTGCCACACTGCACTCTGATTGCCCAAGTCTGAGCTGAGGCTGAGACCAAGCGATTTATGACGGAACATTTCAGGAAGGAGCCTATTGTTTCCAAGAAGTCTCTCCAGATCCAGGCCAGGCATATACATATGTAGGTCTAGGTAACAAAATTAAGCTTATATTTATAATAATGTAGGCCTAAACATTTAGAACCAAACATTGCATAAAGACTAAGTTCGTTTACGGTTTACTAGGCCTAGACCAGGGATAGATGTGAGTTTAAATGGATACCCCATCTAACAGCATGGCTTCCGACGAGGGTTGTCAACAACCACTCAATTGACAACAGCCGTCCACGACTGGTCCTCCATCCTACAGCAGCGTAGCCAAGCTGATATAATCTTCTTGGACTTCAAGAAGGCATTTGATCGAGTACCACACCTTCTCCTGTCAACCAAACTTCAGTACTATGGAATAAGTGGTGACTCACTCCAGTGGATAATGTCTCTCCTCACTGATAGACAACAGGCAGTCGTAGTTGATGGATCCAAATCAACATGGAGGGATGTAACATCTGGAGTCCCCCAGGGATCCGTCATCGGCCCTACCCTCTTCCTGTTGTATATCAACGATATCCAAGACAACATCCAGTCCACAATGCGTCTCTTCGCAGATGACAGCACCCTCTATCGTGAGATTCGATGCCCTGAGGACCATCAAATCCTAAAGGACGATCTCCAACAGCTGTCCAGGTGGTCTTCAAACTGGATGATGGACTTCAACGTGAAAAAGTGCGCTATCCTCACCATCACACGGAAGCGTACTCCCAGCATCCGAGAATACCACCTGTCAAATGGACTGATTCCGAGAGTGAAAGAGTACAAGTACCTTGGAGTAACGGTTGCTGCTGATCTCCGTTGGAACAAGCACTGCCAAACCATCCGGCATAAAGCAAGCCATACTCTAGGTCTTCTTCGCAGGACTCTCTCACCCTGTACCAGGGATGTAAAGTCCAGGGCCTACACAGCCTTAGTGCGCCCCCAATTGGAGTATGCCTCGGAGGCTTGGAACCCACACAGCGTCACGGTCACAAAAATGCTAGAGCAAGTACAAAGAACAGCGGCTCGCTTTGTGTACCGTGACTACAGATACACCACATCACCATCAGCTCTTGTGGCAGCTCTAGGGTGGGACACGCTTCACACACGTCGAATCCTCGACCAATGCACCCTTCTCTACAAGATCCATCACCGACTTGTCCCCATACCTGCACCAACTATTGTTATCCCTGCTACATACTTCGGAAGACATGACCACAACCTGAAGTATGTAATTCCTGTTGCAACTATCGACTCCTTCAAGTTCTCATACTACCCAAGAGCAATAAGGATCTGGAACCATCTGCCAGGCTCAGCAGTCAATGCAACAGGAATAACCAACTTCAAGGAGGCTGCTCTACCCTCCATCAGAATGATGCAGCCCCCCGTTGGTTCTCACATCATATAAGCTTACTAGCTTGGTTTTTACTTGCACTGGACTTAGCATATTTTACTGTAAATTGACAAGTGCTTTGTCCACACACCATTCCAGCAATTCATGACACTCCTTGTAGTCACTTGCCTCACCTACCATCCCAGTATAGCTTCCTGAGTGAGCTGCCAAAGGGATTACCCAACCAAGTACCAAGTACCAAGAGGGCCCTTTGAAGCACTGCGAGGCACCGAGTCTTTTTTTCCCCTATCATAATCCCCTATCATAATCCCCCTCCCGGACCGCACAGCTCGTAAATCTAACTCCCAAAACTGAGTGACATAGGGCTCGCGAAATGCATTGTTGGAAATACACATCGGCTGCTATCAACAATGAACAAAAATGGCGGCATACAGTAGGGATGAGTATTTGCTAGGCGACGATTTAGACTTTCTGACTGGTTTTGAGGAAGATTTAATTTATGGGAAGTTGGAGACCAACACAAGTTTAATATGCACGTGTGAAATTCCATCAACGGAAAATCTTAATCGTTGCAGCAAACCAGAACGTATGGTTAAATCAATGGTTTCATCGTGAATGCGTAGGCCACTCCAGCAAAACATAGATAGTTGATGCGTATTGACTACTAGCACTGCAGTACGTGTAAATAGGCAGCATTTGAATACATGAATAGTCAATACACTCACGACATACAAATGCACATAATTATACCGATGCGGTTGATCGGCAAGTTTGACAGTAGACTCACGATTTTAATTTTTAAATTATTCTTTCTAACATTGGAAAGTTTAACAAATTGTATTTTAATGCTCTTTAGGTGTCATCAATCGTCACTAAAGTACTGACTTTGAGTGAAGTCAGTTGAGTTTTGTACAGTGGTGTTTGAAATGTTGAGAATCAATAGCACAATTTTTAATATACGGCCAGGGTAGTAATGCAGCTATGTGTGTTTCCTCCCACAACATGCAGCATGTACAGCCCAGCGAGCACGGCGGCTTGCGCGTCGCCTGCCCGTACTCAGGGTGAAAAGTGGTGATGAATTGACAACTTCTAACCCTCATTAAACCAAATGCGCAAATATATAACACAATTTCATTTAGTTATTTTAAGAGATAAACTTATGGACTACCTTCCTAGCTATGTAAAAATTTCGGAAACTTTCGGAAAATGTCAATAATTAGAAGAGAACACGATGATGATGAGAAACTTGCATTCACTCTAACTCACAATTTCCTTGGTCGATTTCGCTTGTTCAGATGGCTACGTCTTCAGTAGAGTTATCCGAGCACAGCGAAAGCATTTGATAACCAATAGAAGGTTGTATTGTGCCATAAGTTGTCGATTTTTGTATTTTATATGTTATAGCTATATACATCTTCCATGAGTATGACGTCATTTTCTCGGTGACTCGCATGGCTTCAAAGCCTTTTTTTACGACCAAGTGTTTAGAGAGCTTAGGGAAGCAGACCGTGTTGCGTAACATTTCGTAACATTTGGATTGCCAGAGGGCATCTGTGGTCTGATAAGGGCGGCTGTTGATGGATTTGATGGCTGAAGAGGGTTACATTGCTTGTTGTTAAGCCAAGTTAATCTTGAATATCTTTCCCTCGGGAAATTCTTTCGAGACGGAATATCCATTTAACTCACATATCCCTGCCTAGACTGAGCTGTGTCTGTCTGTAGACTGCATATTTGCATTGACATCATTGAGCATTGACTCTTGAGTTGACTCTTGACTTGAGCCTCGAGTCGGATATAAAAAAACGTTAATAATAATACCAGTAGTAGTGACGTATAATACAGGTTTTGATCTAAAGACAATGTTTGTATTTATGTTACATAGATCTAGTCGTAGGTCTACATATGTAGCTCACTCGTACTCGTCTCTATGACGTGTGAACCAGGCCAGGCCAGGCCAGGTAATTGAATACCCCAACCAGGCCGAGTATATGGCATCTGCAAGAATCTTCAGTATTGAAGGAGGCAGATTATCTTGAAGAAGAAGAAGAAGAAGAATGTGATGAGCTAGTTAGGCCTATAATTAACTTCATATAACACAATCAAGTATATTAATAGGCTAGCTAGTAGACTATATAACTATAGAAGATTGTTTTATTCCTCGAGGCCGCAAGTGCAAGCCAAGGTTCAACGTTGCAACAATCACGACAATGAACTAGTCTAGGTTAGACAGAAAATATTTCAATCAATGAGGGATCCAGAAATGGTCTTGGTAGTTGGTGGAACCTATCCCTGAATGGACTCTCTCAGGATGTCATCACGAGGCCAACTATTACTAGGGACTACAATACATGTAGCTGATTATTCTGTCATATTCAAAGGAAGTCAGCATTGCACATTGCATTAATATTTGTTTCTTGATGATTGAATTGAATTATTTTATTGAGTGTAAATGAAACCAAGAACACCGACACAAAGGTTTGGATAGTACATTGTAGTAACTAGTATTCAAAACCTTTGTGTGTTGGGGGGGGGGGGGGGGGGGGGGGGAGGGGGGGGGGGGGGCTAGTCTTGGTTTTATTTACCCTCAACAAAATAATTCAATTAAATCATCAAGAAACAAATATCAATGAATGAACATGCAAATTTTTACTGCAATGCTGACCTCCTTTGAAAGTGACAGAATAATCAGCTATTTGTCTGCGGTCATTCACCATGCAGAAAGAAGAAGAAATTTAGACTTATTTGTTGTGTATACGCATGCAAAATCTAGGCCTAAACTCTGATCAAAGTCTAAGATTAGCCACCTTGGCACTGTGCATGATTTTTAGTCCCGCAGTAGCTGTCCTGCATTGTGTGTGTAGCTAGGTTGTGCCATTTATGGTATGCAGCCTGTTGAACAATAACAAGTTTACCTACAAAGTACCATGTGATGTGACATGAGTTCAGCTGTTTATGACATAATTTGCCCGCTGATAAGAATCTGTCTGCATTTAGGAGTTTATGTTGATCAACGCTTAAGTTAAGCACTGTTCGGTGATCTCAGACTGAAATGCACTGCAACAAAATGCTTACCCGGTACCCGGTACCCGGTATGCCAAGGCTGTGCATGCATGAACCTGTGAAAAAATCTGTGAAAATTGTGAATTCTCTCGCACACTTTTATCTAGACACTGGGCATCCGTGTGAATACTACTACTACTACTACAGTCAAACCTGCTTTAGTGACCACCTGTCTCCAAAGGCCACCTGTCTACAAAGACCAACTTGAAAATGGTTTCTCATTGAAACATGTACCACCTGTCTACAAAGACCACTTTTTGTGTTTCCCTTAGGTGGTTGCTATATACAGGTTTGACTGTACTACTACACTACTACTAGTACTACTGCTACTGTTAACAATACTACTACTACTACTACTACTACTATTACTACTATATACTGTTAAAAATACTACAACATGTACTACTCTTACTACTACTACTACTACTACTACTACTTCTTCTTTCTACTCCTTCTTCTACTACTACTTCTTATAATAATAGTCTTAATACTAATTTTATTATTTTATTTTATTTTTATGTAGCACCTTTGCAATTAAGTAAATGATCTTAGCGCCTTACACTGTACTGTATACCCCAGTCATTGGATTTAGTTGTGATTCTGCACTTATAGTGCATATTCTCCAACCCGACTTGGGAGCCTTCCAGCTATATAGCTCTGCAACCTTTTCGCAGGTGTACATAATGCCACATACCGGTATGCTATATATCCCAACCACAGGGACGTTCACATCCTACTGGGTTACTCATTTGAAACTTTGGTGGAGAGGAGCAATGAAGATATGAATGAATCCATGACTTTTGCATTCCCAGTCAAATGATTTAAACCACTCTGACTCCTATTCATAGATTCATAGCTGCACAATAGGTGAATAAAAGAAAGAGAGAACAGTTTTTTAAAGGGATAGTTGAGGGCGCTACACAAAACTGAGTGTCAAATTTGAAAAAACATACAATTTAAATGACAAAATCATCTTTGTTTGATCAAAATCGGTTCAGAGACGGCTGAAATATCCATAAATATATTGATTTCTAATACTTGTGTACTCCCACAAATATTAGATAATTTGAAAAAGCCGTTGAAAAAAAACGAAATAGCGCCTTCTACGTTGTATTTCAGCCAATGCAGATGTTGGCTTTTTTGTTGGTATTTTCGTGTTGGTTGTATTACGCACAACCAGCTGGCCCATGTATTGTTATTTTTAATTAAATAATTAATTAACGGTCATCATATTTTTTTGAAAGTGGAGCTGAATTGGTTTGATCGTATTAGCTAAATTGCACATTTTGGGGTCTAAAATTACCTTCATAGCAATTGTAGGTTCTAAAAGAGCACTAGATATGTCATAGATAAGAATAAGAGCAATAACCATGCACTTTGAAGGCATTTGCGGTTTTAAAACAGAACTCAACTATCCCTTTAAAGCAGCTTTTGCATTTTAAATTAGTTGAAACTAGACGTATATTTTTTTTCTCTGTAAAGTTCACTCCAATGCTTTGCACTAATCAACATTCCAGTACATATTATCATAGGCATGTCCCTCTTACTCTCCCACACAATATTTGTTGAAGCCTCGGAAATGAACATTTCTCCAGATTTTCCCCACTTTATATAGAAACAATGGGAGTGCTGATGTCCACAACAGGATGAAAACTTTGACATGACCTTCCTGGTAAATTCCCTTGTAGTTGTCTGGCACACATGTTCACACTCTCTCCTGAGTATTCTAGGCTCTGCATAATTAAGTGCTTGCCTGTTCACATATGACACAGGAAATCATCACGACCAAGGTTATCTAACTTGGCATTTAAACAAACAAAAACGTATTGAACGGCAAGTGGGGATGCATGCACCAAAAAAGGGTACCGGTAGCTGTGTGAAACAATTAAGGTCCTGTGTGTGCTCATTGTCTGTGTATTGTAGATACAGAAGCAATATATAGTACGCTTTCGTCATAGTAACAAAAATGCTGTGGTCTACTCAAGTGCGACATTATGTGAACAATCATTTAAGTTTCAGACTTGGCTCGTTCATACTTGATGTTGTGAACTACTCCAAAAATTGCCACATGAAAAAAAAAAAGTTTCAAGTATAAATTAATGACTGGCAACTTGCAATTGGGGTGAAATTCTGTAGCGGTACGTTGCTAGATCATTCATCATCATCTTCATTTATTAAAGCTAAAGACCAGTTATAGATATGCGATTGCATTGTGAAAGAAACGTTGTGGAATGGATCAGAAAAGGTTGATCATCTAGCATATAAGTATTGGTGTGTACTGCAAGGTTCTGGAATCATCAAAATGATAAGAAACTTGGCCCAGTCCTTTTAAAGTTACAAGCACTGTACACAGAAAGATGTGGGACTATACGCACACGTGCGCGACACATGCGTTTATCTCTCACAGACCATCGGATAAACTAATTTACCAAATATATCAATTAGTAGGCGGTTTCCCGGCAAATTTTTTATCATCATGTATTAGTCAAAATATATTCTTTCACATGATCGGTAATAAGAGCTTCCATTTCATTATTTGAAATTGGGGCGTTTCCAATACTGGTCTTTACCTTTAAAGTCAGCATTTTGTAGGTAGAGGGTATTCATTGCCACAAGTATTACCTTGTGCATGGGAGCAACACCTATCGATTTTCAAGTCGTACACTCTTGTACTAGAAGTGCTATAGAAATGTAATATAATGTTTATTATTATTATTGCTGTTATAAATGCACTGGTGAGCACTTAGACGCATGGGCATAATACATGATGATCTACAAATGTAACAAAAGTTTGTTCACATACTGTATCTGGTGTTTGTTTTTAACGATACTGTACTGTACTACTGCACAGGTATCATGATCTCGTGAATACGTTGCCAGACTGTGGATCATATCGTTAGCGGTTTGAGTCCCACTGCGACACTAAAGTCCTTTGGCAAGACATTGATCAACATTTGCCACTCTCCACCCAGGTGTTGAATGGGTACCCGGAATACTTCCCAGGGAGCGGAGAGTACGCACTATCATGTGCAGATTAGCAATTAAATCCAATGACTGGGGTAATAATGATTAAAAGGATAAGTGCTTAGAAATTTAGTATTAGGTGTAAATTGTGATACAACAGATTATTATTTTTATGATTATTATTATATTATTATCATTACCTATTACACAATGTGTGTAATGTGCTTCACATTTCTGAATCTTATGACACACAAACAGGTGAGTACCATACAGGACCTGTGTTGTGTGCAGCTACCTCATTTATCTCCACCTGCCATTCAAGCAAAGAAATGGACTGCTGCCGTAAACAGGCTGTTCAGCTTTGCCTCCTCTTTTGTGAACAAGCTTTAACTATGATACTCATGCAGGCCTTCCCTTGACTTGTACCCTTGATTTACATGTATACACAAACTTTGTTCCATTATTTCTACTGTGAAGGTTTTTACTTTCACTTTTTTCTATTTACAGCTTTGAGCTTTGGATGGTATGTGCATTGGCATCATGGCTAGGAGTGAGGATAGAGAAAGAAAGAGACGGTTAAACGGGATGATGAGAGATTTGCAGATGGTAGATCCGTCTGAGATTCTCCCTCTTCTCACTTGCCTTAGTCAAATGCGTAAGGTAAGTGATATAAATATAAAAAAATTACTTGGTTTGAGATTTTCCCATCTTTCACTTTGCTCTGATGTCTCAGTCAAATGTGTAAGGTAAGTGATGTGAAAAACTTAATTTGAGACTACCCTTTCTCCAATGCCTCAGTCATATGTGTAAGTAAGGTAAGTGATATGAACAACTCAATATGAGTCTCCCCTTTCTCTTAGCTGGCTTAATTCGGGCTTAGTTTCCAATGGGCTAAAGAATTCACATCATTTCTCCACACTTGCTAGAATGATAGTAATAATAATAATAATATTTCATTCTTGTATAAGGATATTATTACTGCACTTTTCTTTAACATCATAGCTGTATATGTTTGTAAAAAAAGGGAAATCATCAACATTTGTCCCCCGACAACTGTCAGTGCTGACTAAATTTGAACAATCACAGACCTGGAAATTAATCAGTGGCAATAGAATTGTCGGTGAAAATGATATTAGTCGGTGAAAACCACCGACTAATTGTTTCATGTAACACCCCCAGCTCTGGCAACAGTAGTGCTCAGTGTGGGAAAGGAATAAATCTTACCAAGTTCCCACTTTTTACACCTGGGTCGAGTGTGGCAAATGTAGATTAATGTCTTGCCAATGCTGTTATGGATGTTGAAAGAATTTTTATTTTTAACCCTGTACCTTGTGGGTCACAGTCTGGAGATGTTATCCAATAGACCATAATACTTCTATATATATATAGTAGCGTATGCTATAGTAGAATGTATCTTGATGCAAATAACCATTGTATCTGTTTTGTTTGTGTACGTATAGGAGCAGATCAGAGCGAGGTGTAGAAATGATGGTGCTATGGTTGCAGCAGCTGAACTTATGGAGGAACTTCCAAAGAGGGAGGGATGGTATGATATCTTAGTGGAGGCACTGAGAGAGATGGGAAAAACAACACTTGCTGATCAACTGGAAGGGCCAGGTGAGTGATCATGTGAGAACTCAAAGACCTGGTCGGAAGTGAAAAATGAAATAGATGAATTATATATCAACAAAAAGCTTATGAGCCATAAATTGCAATAATATCAATCATATGCTATTTTAGTGTCTAAAGCCTCGAAAAATCAGAAGATGTTGACCTAAAAACTAGCTATCAACTCCGACTTGATGACATAATCTTTTGTGGAGTAAGAATATTCACAATGACTTTGCATTAATTAAGCATGGCTCATCACCTCAGCTATATAGGTGAGCTGATCAGGTCCACATGCTATGTCGTCATTGTAACTGCGGCAAATTTGACCCCTGTTGACCTGTAATTTGGAGGGATGTGGAGAATGTGGTTTTTATATGCTTTTGAGCAATACTGAAAGGGAAAATATTTGTTATTTCTTTATATTTGTAATTCTATGTTCATTCAGCTTTCCATATATAAAGTTGTATTTTCATCTGATAGGATCTTTAGAGGTACAGGGGGAGGGGGCACAGTTTCTTTCCTATGATGTGTACTTAATGTATATAACATATGCCGGATTAAATTTAGCTGGAGAATTAGAATTGGGTTCTCAGCTGTTTCTAATTTTAATTTTAAATATGAGACACTTAAAGTGTAGTCCTTCACATAAGACATTCGTAATACAATATCCTTTCACAGGAGAATCCAAAGATTTTAAAAGCTCTCAAACTATATTTTATCAGAACTGCAAGGGTATCTATTTCTGCAATGTAGGCTGGTTTGGTGAGACTGTTGTCAAATCATATTTCTTTGAGAACAGTAAACTTGGGCATAGTCTTGAGTTGCTGCGAGGCACAACATCTTTTTTGGAAGGGCAATAATTTCTTACTTCTACCACCTTTTTTTTGGACAGAGTTGCGATCTAGTCCCTCAGTACCATCTCAGAATGTGGCTTCAGGGTCAAGCTTTCAAAGTGCTCAGATGAATCCGATTCAAGCGAAACAACAGCATAGTCCGTCACCTCCAGGTACAGTATTTAACTAATCCTTGATACACTGGATGGTTTATCTTCTGTATTCTAAACATTTTGTATAATGCACTGTGCCCTGACTACATATATAAGTAATTTTCATAGTATACTGCCCTCACCATAGAGATATGAAGGCAAGCTGGAGTGTTTTCTGGTATGGCAACGGGTTGGCTGCCTGAGAGAACATGTGCACACATTAATTGGTAATTCTACCAAATCTGGGGAGTGTTTCACAAAGACTAAGATTGACTTTAAGTTGGACTTAACTATGGCAGGCCGTTCATGCCACTTTTTGCTGATTTTTGCTCTCACCATTTACTGGCATAATTGGTCTCTCAAGGGACGTACAAATCATGGTCACAAATCTACAGAATTTACATTTGTTGATAATTCATTATCAAAGAAAAAATATTATCTAAAGATCATCAAGGTTAGAACAACCAGTGGCATCTATGGTCTGCCATAGTTAAGTCCAACTTAAAGTCGATCTTAGTCTTTGTGAAACACTCCCTCTGGTGTCATCAAATTATGATGCAATACATATGGCCATGCACTGACTACTACATGTACATGTGGCTTTAAGCCCGTCCAAGGGGAAAACAAGTGACCACACTGTAGACAAATAATAGTTGCCTCTCTTAACAGGTTTATCTACACATAGATGACCATTATTGGGTGCGTTTATCGGGTCTTGCCACTAGGTATGTACATATCGAACCCCACTATCGAACCCCACTATACGAAAGTGATTTAAGGGATGTAGCGTTTATCGTCTCTTCACGATTCAAACAAATAAAGGCCTTGTCTCTGCGCAGCTGCATTGCGCCGTTTGACCCGGGAAGCAGACAGTTTCTCGGAGGTCAACTACACACACACGCTTGCACACAGCACATGGCGCGCGCTAGCCTCCGAACCGGAAATTAACCTGGGAAGGTCCGATTTGTATGTGGGGTTCAAAACAGCTCTCAGAAACGTGATTCTGGCTGTATGTCACATTCAAAACACACCTTTTTGCGTCTTTAAATATGCCCATATCTAAAGACGTCTAAAAAAGGCTTTGTGTTTATCACCTTCAAAATTTGCCTGAAAGACGTTTGAGAAACCTGATTCTAGGCAAAAATTTATTCAATAAACGCACCCATAGACAGGTACAATGTAGTTGTAATAGAGAGATGACCTGAAAGACAGGTTTGACTGTAGTATACACTCATGTTCTTACTCTGTTATTCTCCATCAGCATGTGATCCTCAGCAGAGACATCCTGAAGCAGAAGCATCTGTCACACCTGATTATCCGTCAAGAGCAGAAGAGAAAGATGTCCAGCGCAAGGGTAAGAGGAATCATGTTTATCAGTGTTATTTCAATATTGACAAGCCAGGCCTGACTTTAACAGGGGTCCTCTGGGACATACATGTATGGACACCATACATGTAATTGGTCTACAAACCCCTATAAAATAAGAAGCCCAGATAAATTTCTCTAGTTATCTAGACCCCTTGAAAATGAAGTCATTGACGTAGAGCCTATTAGATGCAACAACATTCTAGCTGTTTTGATATTTTTGATAGATATGCTTTACCAAGAGAAGGTGCAATGGCTCAGGGGTAGAGTGGTTCTAAAGGAAGTTGATGCACTAGTGTCCTTTGATAAGGCATTACTCCTGATTACCAAGTCCCTTGGAGAGGACTTAAAGCCGTCGGTCTTTTGGTTACTTATTTTACTTATAAGCATACTCATGCTTTCTTAGCAGTCGGGTAAAGGAAAACTTGTTAATACACATGTATTTTATCATAGTACTGTACATTATATGAAGATAGATGCACATGTCCTCATGATTAATTGCTGGGATTCCAGTATGAAAATATTATTATTATACTGTTCTGTACCTGGCAGCATGTGCTGGCAACAACAAAAAATAACTGCATACAGCAAAGGAACCCATGCTCATGTATCTGGATGTTAAACTATTAGAAATGTAATGGAGTGCACAGTGCTTGTGTCATTTGTTTTGCTCCTGTGATATTTATATATGGTTTATCGTGGCATCTATGCATGCATCTTTAGAAATCCTCATTTCTTTTCTATTTGTGTTATTAAGGTGCCAAGAAAGAGGTCAACAATTCTAGAGTGGATGAGAATCCTGGACAGGTAGGAACTGCACATCTTTATTAACTTTGTGCATTATTGTGTATTTATGTTCCTGTATGTTCTGCATACTACTTTGGCAAACTGTAAATATCTGGGGCAATACCAAGAAATAAGGTATTTCGATTTTCTTGAAGAAAAGATCATTCTGAAGCATGATTTTCAGGAAGTTACAATTATAATAATAAATTATAATAACTTTAAAAAAAGTATAGGACGTTTTCATAGTTGTCAGTCTTACCTCTTCTTTTGTCCTTGACAGCAGCCTCCTTTAGGTGCTTCACTACCGACGCCACAAGCAAGAGAGACGGGAGGTTCAGCAGCTAGTAGCCCCGGCCGTGACCTACAGGAGAGGCATGATGAATCCAAATCGGATGAGTGCAATACCAGTCCACCCCCAGAAGGACGATCGGCTCAGATGCAAAGAGGAGCGTCCGGAGAAGCAGAGGAGCTTGCTCAAAACATGTTGCCTAGCAACTCATCATCTGCAATGGATGCTGGTGCAGTTAGTGTCAGCGTTCCTCCAAGAGATGGCAGCGTTCGCCCAAGAGATGTCAGGTTGACTGGAATAGAGGCTGCTGGTGGGATGAAGGAAGATGACAAGATGAAGAGAAGAGAGGTGGGGAAGGGAGAGGAGGAGCGGATGAATATTCCAAGTGAATCAGAGCAAGATAATCATGGCAAACAAAATAACCTGAGTCCAGTTATAGATTCTAGGGCATTCAACAAGAACAGTGACCGAACCGACTGTTTCAAGGCTCCCACAGAAGAGGAGGATCTCTCAGGTACACCGTACACTTTATCATCCACTGTTGTTGATCCTACGGATGCTTGTGATGCTCGTGCTACCGACCCAATTAGTTTAAGCGAGATTAAAGAAGGCATAAGCACAGGGAATACAGCTTCTCAAAGTGGGTCATGCCTCCAGCAAAATGATAAAGGTAATACAGAATCCACTGGAGAGGGGCAAGGAGGGGCCGATAGAGGTGGAACGGGGGAGAGGGGTGCCATTGGTGGTGTAGAAACTGTAGATGCAAGTAAAGACAACCAAGCTAGTCTGCTTATGAGAGTGGGTAGTGTTGTAAGAGGTTTCATGCCCACTGTGCTTAATTCTGTAAGTGAATATACTAAAACTAAAATATATTAAATTATATCCCTCATGTATAGTTTGTTGCATTGCGATTGTACAGAGCACGAAAAAGGTATAGACAAGTACTATCTACCTGAGATCTCGAGACTTTTGTAAAGTAATTTTTTGCTGCTACCCCATTTGCCCATACAATCCTATAGCAAAGTAGGTTACGCAAAATGCCAGTGTTAAACTAGTACAAGTCAACGACGCTTAATTTAAAGCATTTGAAAAGTCAAATACACGCGCATCAACTTTATTACATGTATGCATGTTGTGCTTTGAACCTAAAATCGCGTAAACATGAAACAAATGCGCTGAAATTAAGCGCAATCGATGCATATCATTAGTGCGCGACAAAAGCAAAACATATTAAAACCACTTACAATTTTTTGGCGGCACGACTTGCGTCTTACTTAGTTTCTTATGCCTCGCTGTAGCTGGGCCTAGATCTAGACTTTTGTTTGCTTCTAAACATTTGTCATTTGGATAATATTGGATTATAGACTACTGAGAATGATGGATTTATATCATTGTAAGTATTTTTGTTGACTTTGCCTTTGGATCCCGTTTTGTTTAGCCTTTTTAGGCTTCAACGATCATCATGAGTGATGCGCGGGAGCACCCGAGGTTTCAACTTCTTACCGATGAACAAATGAATAATATGCTGGATAATGCTGACAGTACTAATACTAGAAGACAAATCAAATATGTTTCGAAGGTTTTTACAGATTTTCTGATGGAAATGAAGGTTGAACATATTGAAAATTTGGGACAAGATATTAAACTTCTCGACAGTCTTCTTTGTAAATTCTATGCAGGAGCAAGAAATCGAAATGGAGATCTTTATTCAAAGAAGTCAATGCAAGCAATGAGATACGGCCTTCAGAAAAATTTCTTGTCATCACATGAACTCGACATTGTTAAAGACAAAGCTGTCTCAAAGTCTGAAAGAGTATTCAAATCAGTTATTTCACAACTGAAATCTGAGGGTAAAGCAAATGTAAAACATCACACACCAGTTAGTACAGCTGACATGAAGTTGATCCAAGAAAGTCTCGACTCAGAAACACCCGAAGGACTGCAGCACAAAGTGTTTGTGGATATCATGGTATATTTTGCGAACCGGGGGATGGAGAATCTTTGTGATCTGACACCTAATGACTTAAAAAGTCGACGGCCGTCGTTATTTCAGCATTGCTGACAAATTCACAAAAAATCATCGCGATGATGACAGCACCAGCCAAGGTGGAAGGATGTTTGGAATACCTACGAATCCAAACTGTCCTGTGGAATCAATGCTGAAGTACAAAGCCAAGCTCAATTCCAAATGTAGCTGGTTCTGGCAGAAACCAAATAGATCTAGGCCTAAAGCTCCGAAAACTAATGTTTGGTATGATAACTGTCCATTGGGCAAGAACACTTTGAGCAAAATGATGAAAACCATTAGCCAAAATGCCAACTGTTCAACACTCTACACCAACCACTGATTGAGAGCAATGAGCGTCACTATTTTAGATGAAGCTGGTTATCCCTCCCGGGACATAATGGCTGTGTCTGGACACAAGTCAGAGGGTAGCATTAAGGATTATGCTTGCACAAGTGTAGCACAAAAGTCCAGGATGTTGAATACTTTATCTTCTGCCTTGCTAGGAGTAGACCTAGATCTAGGTCTAGAAAATACCATGGTAAACAGGAGTCTAGATCCAGGCCCAGATCAGGAAGTTCAACAGCCAGTGCCAGTGGTGCCTGTTACTTGTGTTAGGCCTAGGCCTACTGCTAGTACTAGTACTAGTAGTGGGCTTACTACTAGTAGTAGTAGTAGTACTACTACCATTACCCTCGTAGTCGATTAATATTTGCTTAATATACTAAAATATATTAGATATTGAATACTGGTATACTAAAACCCTGATAAGGTGGTAACTAGTAACATCGATGGTTTAAGCTTGAAATTATTTAAGATAGGAATAAGTATGTAAAGTCTAATGGGTTGACAAGTGTAGATCAGTGGGTTTCTAGATATTCATGGGTAGCATGAGAAGACATCAAGAACTAATATTTAATTTGGTAAGAGAAGGAGAGAGATTTTACATGAATGTGTTCTCAAGTATGAAAAGAATAAGGTGTGTGGTCACAAGTAAATACCTTGTTTGAGAAAGTTGTTTCTTTTCTATGTTGCTTTTTATGCCTCCGTTACGAAGTAGCCGAAGGCATTATGTTTTCTGGTTGTCCGTCCGTCCGTCCGTACGTCCGTACATCCGTACGTCCGTACGTCCCGTTCTCGTGATCGCGTTATCTGAAGAACCGATTGATGGATTCCTGCCAAACTTTGGTCATGTATGTATCTTGCAGAGCCGATGAACTGATTAGATTTTGGGGTCACGAGGTCAAAGGTCAAAGGTCACAGGGCTCATTATGTATGCAAAAACAGCTCGTGATCGCGTTATCCAAATAACCGATTGATGGATTCCTGCCAAACTTTGGTCATGTATGTATCTTGCAGAGCCGATGAACTGATTAGATTTTGGGGTCATGAGGTCAAAGGTCAAAGGTCACAGGGCTCATTATGTATGCAAAAACAGCTTGTGATCGCGTTATCCAAATAACCGATTGATGGATTCCTGCCAAACTTTGGTCATGTATGTATCTTGCAGAGCCGATGAACTGAATAGATTTTAGGGTCACGAGGTCAAAGGTCAAAGGTCACAGGGCTCATTATGTATGCAAAAATTGCTCGTGATCGCGTTATCTCAAGAACCGATTGAAGGATTCCTGCCAAACTTAGGTCATGTATGTTACTTGCGAAGCTGATGAACTGATTAGATTTTGGGGTCATGAGGTCAAGGTCAAAGGTCATGCGGCTCATTATGTATGCAAAAATAGCTGTGATCGCATTATCATTAGAACAGATTGATGGATTCCTGCCAAACTTAGATCATGTATGCATCTTGCAGAGCCAATGAACTGAGTAGATTCTTTGGTCATGAGGTCAAAGGTCAAAGGTCATGGGCTCATTATGTATGCAAAAAGACCTTGTGAACACATTCTCATTAGAACTGACAGATGGATTACTATTTAACTCGGGACATCTTGCAGAGCCAATGAACTGAGTAGATGTTAGGGTCATGAGGTCAAAGATCAAAGGGTCATATATGTATATGAGAAATTGCTTGTAATTACAATATTCTGAGAACCTGTTAATGGATTACAATTGAACTTGAATTTGAAAAATTTCTTCTGTTTTGGTTTGTAAATTGCCCTATGACGGAGGCATCATTTCGACTGCGCGCAGTCGAAGTTCCATCTAGTTTTATATATTTTTTATATATGAATTATTCATTAATCATATTATATTGAATGGCCCAAGTTGAGGGTTGATAGTAAGGTGAATTACTGTTTAATCTATAACCAGTTGGTCTATTGCCCAATTAGTCTATTCCCATTTGGTCTTCACCCAGCTGATCCACTATACACGTTTAGGCTATTAGCCATTTAATCTTATTTCTCTGTGTTCTACTACCAATTTTATCTATTGTCCGTTTAGTCTAATAAACAGTTAGTCTAATTCCCAGTTTGTCTAATGCCCATACCTTCTTTAAAAAATTTGACGTTCTTCAACTCTTCCATACGTACATGTAGGTATTTTAGATATACATGTGAGATATACATGTACATTTATTTTTTCCCCATTTTTTTTCATTAATTATTAGTCATCAGTGTCATTTATGAAATCAAGTAAATTAGACTTAAAGACCAAACTCCATACCAGCGAAAATAATTGATATTCTCATAGGATGAGTTTGTATATTATTGGACTAATGTAAATAGTGCAATAAATGATGTGATGTGATCACTAAATGATAGCTGACATCAAACTTTAAAATGTCAAATCATAATTTTTCTGATATGATGAACTGCTATAATACCATATCACAGGAATATGAGTATGTATGGTAAATATTATTGCCAATTTGACTTTTGTTGTTGCTTATTTGGCAATTTATAAATTACAAGTGTGTCAATGTTCTCCTAATTAAAGATAAACTTGAGTTCTGGTAAAAAAAGAATTCTCACAGAATCTAACTTAACTTACACTGAATGTTCAAGATTGCAAATAAATGTCGTGTGCCAAACAATTTTGGAAGAAAATGTATACTGGCTGAGTAATGAGCATAGAAAGATAAGGAAATCAAGGTAGTACTAGCCCCGACACCATTTGTGTTGTCCCATATACATCTTTCTGTGTACAGTGATTGTTACTTTACCAAGACTGGGCCAAATTTATGATGATTTTGATGACTCCAGAACCTTGCATTGCACACCATTACTTACATGCTATATGATCAACTTTTCTGATCCATTTCACACCTTTCTTGATTCAATCGCATTACATGAACTCACCTTTATCTTTAATAATCCATAGTCTCTGCTGTAACCTAGACAATACTTGTAATCCTCATCAAATGAGGAATTTTTTGAGTTATTAAGTCATCTTCATTGTGACATGTATGTAGTTAGTAGTAATATATTCGTTAAATGTATTGTACATTAATATATTATTTCTTAATAGTTTTACTTTTACCTTGACTTTTGTGCTTAGTTTTCAAATTAAAAATAACAGTAATTTTTCCCTTGTAAAAAGAAATCTTTCAATAGACCATTGAGGGTAGAATTTGGTCTGTGAAATGGAAAGACTGTTTATCAAGAAATTGAATATTAATTATTTGACTTTGGACTTGTTACGTATAAATTAAACATACCATGTTAAAAAATTGTCTTGATTTTATTTAAATTTGTTAAAATTGCATACCGGTAGTTTTTGTACCTACTTTTTTGGGGTTGTTTTGTTTATTCAATTGCATATCTGTGGTTATTATTTATGAGTTCTTTAAAAGAAATGTGTATGTAATATTTATGAAATTCACTATATGTGAGTCTTATTTTTGTTAGAAGAATCTTATTGCGTATACTAAAATATAAATTTGTAAATAGACATATTACACTTGTTGAAAAGAGAGGTAGTTCGTGTAGATCAATTGAACATCATTGAGAAAACATGTTAGATCAAGTCTTCAAAACATGAAATTGACTATTAGACATTCTAATGATGTTGGTGAAAACATTTATTTACTTGTACATGTATGAGTAGTAATATTTCTGTAATATTTATAAAAATGATAACTTGGATTTAAGTGCTCCTCGACCAAACAGGATATGCAGATTCTTTCTGTTAAATCTCAACTTTATTCCTTCCTCTAAAAACGTTTTATATCCCCCTACCCTTCCCCTCTCCCTCACTCTATATCTCTCTTTCTCTCCCCTCCCCTTCCCATCTCTATCTCTCTCCTTCTCTCTCTCTTTTCTCCATCTCTCTATCCTGATGCCGTTTGAAGCCATTGGAACGGTACTTTTCTTGTAAAAAGATGTACATTTTTTTGTCCCTGCCAGACTAAAGAAAGGGAGCAATGTAGGCTGGTTTGGTGAGACTGTTTTCAAATCATATTTCTTTGAGAACAGTCAATTTGGGCAAAGTCTTGAGTTGCTGCTAGGCATAATAACATCTTTTTGAAAGGGCAATAGTTTTCTTACTTTTTCCACCTTTTTTTGGACAGAGTTGCGATCTATTCCATCAGTACCATCTCAGAATGTGGCTTCAGGGTCGAGCTTTCATAGTGCTCAGATGAATCCGATTCAAGCAAAACAACAACAACAAAGTCCATCACCTCCAGGTATTGAACATATCTTAAGCTGGAGTGTTTTCTGGTATGTCAAAGGGTTCGCTGCCCCAGGCAGGCGCGGATCCAGGGGGGCCGAGCGTGCCTTGCCCCCCCCCCCCCCCCCCTCCGCAAAAAAAAAAAAAAAAAAGGAGAGAGAGAGAAGGAAAAGAAGGGAAAGAGGAGAAAAAGGGAAAAAAAGAAGAAGAAGAAGAAAAGAAAAGAGGGGAGAAGGAGATCGGGGAGGAAGGGAGAAGGACTTGCCCCCCCCCCTTCCCCCCCCCCCCCCAATAAAAAAATAAAAGAGAAGAAAGGAAAGGGAAAGAAAAAAGATAAAGAGGAGATAAAGGGAAGGACAAAATAGGAAGAAGAAAAGAAAAGAAGGGGGATATCAGTTGCAATTTTCCCGCCAACAAGTTGTGGATTGGGGGGGGGGGGGGGGCAAAAGACCCTAGCCTCCCCCCCCCCCCCCCCCCGTCCCCGCTAAAAAAAGAGAGAAGGAAGGAAAAGGAAAAGAGGAGAGCTAAAAGGGAACAAAAAAGAGGAAGAAAAAAAGAAAAGGGAGAAAAGAAGCGGAGATCAGTTGCGGTTAATCCCGCCAACGATGTGTGGAGCGGGTTGGGGACCAAAATGACCGTGCCCCTCCCCCTCCCCCCCCCCAGCAAACCTAAAAGAGAGATAAGGAATGGAAGGGAAAGTGAAAGAGGAGAGAAAGGGAAAGAAAAAAAAAAGAGAATGAAGAAAGGCAAGGGATATCAGTTGCAATTTTCCCGCCAACAAGGTGTAGATCGGAGGGTGGGGGGGGGGGGGGGGGGGGGTGGGGGGCACTGGCGTACTGATAGGGGAGGGGGGGGGGGGGCTTTGGAGAAATAGAATTCAAACGTGGTTTATTTGTAATTCCATAATTCCATAACGGTGGTTTATAAATAATGCTGTAATGAGATGATTTTCCTCACTTCATGCGTTTGTTGGAAAATGACAAATTCCTAAATTTACAGCCATGCAGGCAAGAAAATGCTTCTTGAGATGTCTACATATCAGGGCCCGCGGAACGGCGGGGATCGGGATCCTCGAGCCCCCCCCCACACTTTCTTTGAAAAGTATATTAAAGAGAAATAAAAAGAAAGAAAAAATAGTTAACTGCCAGTGTCACATTATAATGGGGTATCAAAATATGCTCATCTGACCATGATTAAAATTAATGCCTAAAATCCTAAGGGCTCTGCCCCCTGGATTCCACCTAGGGCCCAAAGGCGGGCCCTTAGGTGCTCATATGACGGTCATTTAATGCCTAAAACCCCTGATTTCTGGGGGCTCTGCCCCCTGGACCCCACGCCAAATAGTGTCCTGCTAGTGTCACAAATAATAAGGTATCAAAAATGCTCATCTGACCAAAATTAAACGCCTAAAACCCCTGAGCTTCTGGGGGCGCTGCCCCCTGGACCCAACCAAGAGCCCTTAGGTAGGCCCCTCGATACTCATCTGACCGTAATTGAGTGCCTAAAATCCTTGAGATTCCGGGGCTCCGCCCCCTAGACCCCAAGCCAATTAGTGACCTGCCATTGTAACAATTAAGTATCAAAATAATGCTCATCTGACCGTAATTAAATGCCTAAAACTCCTGAACTTCCGGGGCTCTACCCTCTGGACCCCGTCTAGGGCGCTAAGGCAGACCCCTGAACGCTAATCTGACCGTAAATTAAAACCTTAAACCCCTGAGCTTCCGGGGCGGACAAGGTATCAACATATGTTCATCTTACAGCAGGCGCGTAGCCAGGGGGCGGTGGGGTGGTCCCCCAATAAACACCGGCCAAAAAAGAGAGGAGTGTAAAGGAAGAGGACGTAGGAAGAAAAGGGAATAGACAAAGAACATATTTGAAATTCAGACAAGGATTAAGAGTCGAGAACGGTACAACGAATCGTCTTCTTTCTCTAATGAATTAATGAAACGTCAAAGCTTCCGCGCTACGCGCGGGGGAGGGCAGGGGGAACTTAATTCAGACAAGGATAATTTTCGTGAATGGTACAACGAATCGTCTTCTTTCTATAATAATTTAATGAAACGTACAAGCTTCCGCGCTTCGCGCGGGAGGGAGGAGGGGAGAACTGAATTCAGATGAGGATTACGAGTCGAGAACGGTACAACGAATCGTCTTCTTTCTCTAATGATTTAATGAAAAGAAAAAAGCTTCTGAGCTTTGCGCGGGAGAGGGGGATGAATTAAGACGAGGATTAAGAGTAAAAAACTGTACAACGAATCGTCTTCTTTTTCGAATGATTTAATGAAACTATTTTCAGACGAGTAGGCACGTACGGAATGGGGTGGAGGCGGTTAGGGGTTGACCCTCCCCCTTCGGTTTTTTATGTGTGTATTTTGGAGCAAAACCCCCCCCCCCCCCCCCTTTTCTGTGATTTTGTTTTGTTTTTGTTTGTTTTTTTAATTTAAAAAAAAAATTAAAAAAAAAAAAATATGCCAATGGCTGACCTAAAAAAGGTGACCTCACCCCCCCCCCCCACGGAACAAAATGTCAATTGTTCAAATTTCGAGACCCCCCCCCCAAAAAAAAAAGTGTCCTCTTCCCCCCCCCCCCCCCCCCCCCCCTCGCTTATTTAGCGGCTGGCTGAGTCGTTACAATTTTTTTAGATGCCATTCCCCCCCCCCCCCCCCCAAATCCTATTTTTTTGTTGGTACTCAAAGGGGGGGGGGGGTTGAGGAAAAAAACAATTTTTTTTTTTTTTTTTAGTGCTCTCTCTCACCCCTGTTACACATTATAGACAGGTACAATGTGTAATAGAGAGATGACCTTGAAGACAGATTTGACTGTATTATCCACTCATGTTCTTACTCTGTTATTCTCCATCAGTAAGTGAACCTCAGCAGAGACATCCTGAAGCAGAAGCATTCTTCACACCTGGTTATCCGCTAAAAGCAGAAGAGAAAGATGTCCAGCGCAAGGGTAAGAGGAATCACTCTTATCAGTGTTATTCAATACAGGGGCCTCTAGGACATCTGGGCCCTGTCTTACAAAGAGTTGATATCAATTGCAACTTATTTGCTAACTATGTACACAGGCATCATAGCCCACTCGCTAGAGCAGTGGTCTCGTAATCCGGTGACCCGGGTTTGAAACCAAGTCGATGCGATATTCCTTTTTGGTAAGGCATTAATCTTCATTACCAGGTCTCTCGGAGAGTACCTAAAGCCATTGGCCGTCTGGTTGCTTACTTACAAGCATTTATGCTTTCTTAGCAGTCAGGTAAAATAACCATCACATCACATAACATAAGAGATAGGAAAGTGCAAACTTGCGATTGATTATAGGAAATCAATCGCAACTCTTTATAAGATGAGGCCCTGGACAACATAGATGTAATTGGCCTTCATGCAGACCCCTATAAAATAAAAGCACAGATAAAATTCTCTAGATATCTAGACCCCTGGAAAATGAAGTCAGTGACGTAGAGCATATCATAAGCACCAACATACTGTTTTGACGTTGATGGATATGCTTTACCAAGGTAAGGTGCGATGGCTCGATCAGTGTAAAGTGGGTTCAAACCAAGCTAGTCGATGTGCTAGTGCCCTTTGATAAGGCATTACTCCTTATTACCAAGTCCCATGGAGAGGACTTAAATGGAGAGGACTCATATGTACTGTACATTATATGAAGATAGATGCACATGTCTTTATGATTGATTGTTGGGATTCAAGTATGAAAATGGTACCAGGCGCGGATCCAGGATTTCTTAGGGGGGGGGGGGGCCCAAATTTGAAATTATGCTAGCCAAATATTGGAACGTAATGGCGACCAGCAGTGACGTAATTGAGGGGGTGCAGAGAGGGGCGAGTTTCCCCCTCCCTCCTCCGCGAAGCGCGGAAGCTCTGAAATTTCATTACATTATTAGAAAAAGAAGACGATTCGTTGTACCGTTGCCAAAAATAATCCTCGTCTGAATTATGTTTCCCCCTTCCGCGCGAAGCGCGAAACTTTTACGTTTCATTAAATCATTAGAGAAAGAAGACGATTCGCTGTGTCGTTATCGACTCTTAATTTTCGTCTAAATTCAGTTTCACCCCTCCCGCGCAAAGCGCGGAAGCTTTTACATTGTATTAAATCATTAGAGAAGGAAGACGATTCGTTGTACCGTTCGCGACTCTTAATCCTTGTCTAAATTCAGTCCCCCCCCCCCTCACGCGCGAAGCGCGGAAGCTTTTACGTTGTATTAAATCATTAGAGAAAGAAGATGATTCGTTGTACCGTTCGCGACTCTTAATCCTTGTCTAAATTCAGTCCCCCCCCCCCTCCTCCGCGCAAAGCGCGGAAGCTAGCTTTGACGTTTTATTAAATTATTAGAGAAAGAAGACGATTCGTTGTACCGTTCTCGACTCTGAATCTTCGTCTAAATTCAGTTTCACCCCTCCCGCGCGAAGCACAGAAGCTTTTGCGTTTTTTTTAATTCATTAGAGAAAGAAGACGCATCGTTGTGTCGTTATCGAGTCTTAATCTTCGTCTAAATTCAGTTTCACCCCTCCCGCGCGAAGCGCGGAAGCTTTTACGTTGTATTAAATCATTAGAGAAAGAAGACGATTCGTTGTACCGTTCGCGACTCTTAATCCTTGTCTAAATTTAGTCCCCCCCCACCCCGCCCCTCCTCCGCGCAAAGCGCGGATGCTTTTACGTTTTATTAAATCATTAGAGAAAGAAGACGATTCTTATCACCATTCTCGACTATTAATCCTTGTCTGAATTCAGTTCCACCTCCCCCTCCTGCGCGAAGCGCGGAAGCTTTGACGTTCTATTAAATTATTAGAGAAAGAAGACGTTTCGTTGTATCGTTCTCGACTCTGGATCCTTGTCAGAATTTAAAAAATGTTCTTTGTCTACTCCCTTTTCTTCCTACGCCCTCTTCCTTTTCACTCCTCTTTTTTTTTGGGCCGGTGTTTTTGGGGGGACCATCCCACCAGCCTGGCTACGCGCCTGCGGTCAGATGAACATGTGTTGATACCTTGTCCGCCCCCGGAAGCTTAGGAGTTTAAGGCAATCATTTACGGTCAGATAAGCTTTCAGGGGTCCGCCTTAGGCGGGGTCCAGGGGGCAGAACCCCGGAAGTTCAGGGGTTTTAGGTATTTAATTACGGTCAGATGAGCATTATTTTGATACCTAATTGTGACACTGGCAGGTCACTAATTGGCGTGGGGTTCTGGGGGCGGAGCCCCCGGAAGCTCAAGGGTTTTAGGCACTCAATTACGGTCAGATGAGCATTATTTTGATACCTAATTGTGACACTGGCAGGTCACTAATTGGCGTGGGGTTCTGGGGGCGGAGCCCCTGGAAGCTCAAGGGTTTTATGCACTCAATTACGGTCAGATGAGCATCAAGGGGCCCGCCTTAGGGCTCTTGGTGGGGTCCAGGGGGCAGAGCCCCCTGAAATGAGGGGTTTTAGGCATTAAATTACCGTCAGATGAGCATCTAAGGGCCCGCCTTAGGGCCCTAGGTGGAATCCAGGGGGCAGAGCCTCATTATAATGTGACACTGGCAGTTTTTTCCTTCCTTTCTTTTCTTTCTTGCTCTCTTTCTTTCTATTTCTCTTTAATATACTTTTTTCAAAAAAAGTGGGGAGGGGGGGAGGGCTCGAGGACCCCTATTTCCGTCGTTCCGCGGGCCCTGACATGTAGGCATCTCAAGAAGCATTTTCTTGACTGGCTGTAAATTTAGGAATTTGACATTTTCCAACAAACGCATATAAAAGTATAATTTACTTAAAAGTGAGGAAAAAGTGAGGAAAATTATGTCATTTCAGCTTTTTTTTCTAAACGACCGTTATGGAATTAGAAATAAACCACGTTTAAATTTCCACAAAGCTCCCCCCCCCCCTCCCTATCAGTACGCCAGTGCCGCCCCCCCCCCCCTCGATCTATACCTTGTTTGCGGGAAAATTGCAACTAATATCCCTTACCTTTCTTCATTCTCTTTTTTTTTCTTTCTCTTTCTCTCCTCTTTCCCTTCCCTTCTCTCTTTTTTTAAGCGGGAACGGGGGGGGGGGGGGGGGGGGGGGGGGGGGGGGGGGGGGGGGGGGGGGGGGGGGGGCAAGGGCATTTTGCCCCCCCCCCCCCCCCGATCCACAACTTGTTGGCGGGAAAATTGCAACTGATATCCCCATCTTTTCTTTTCTTTTCTTTTCTTCTTCCTCTTTTTTCCTTCCCTATATCTCCTCTTTTTTCTTTTTTCTTTCCTTTCCTTCTTTCTCTTTTTTTTCTTTTTTTTGATGGGGGGGGGGGGGGGGAGGCAACAGCCTGGGAGGCAAGTCCTTTTGCCCCCCCCCCCCCCGATCTCCTTCTTCACTCTTTTCTTTTCTTCTTCCTCTTCTTTTTTCCCTTTCTCTCCTCTTTCCCTTTCCCTTCTTTTCCTTCTCTCTCTCCTTTTTTTTTTTTTTTTACGGGGGGGGGGGGGGGCCAAGGCCCGCTCGCCCACCCCCCCCCCCCCCCCCCCCCCCCCCCCCCCCCCCCCCCCCCCCCCCCCTGGATCCGCGCCTGAATGGTACTGTAATGTACAGTACATTGCTCTGGCAACAACACAAAATAGCTGCATACATCAAGAGAACCCATGCATGCTCATGTAGCTGGGTGTTAAAAGATAAGAAATGTAATGGAGTGCACAGTGCTTATGTCATCTATTTTGCTGCTGTGATATTTGTATATGTTTTACCTTGTCATCTATGCAAGCTTTAGAAATCCTCATTTCTTTTCTATTTGTGTTATTAAGGTGCAGAGAAAGAGGTCAACAATTCTGAAGTGGATGAGAATCCTGGACAGGTAGGAAATAGACATGTTTACTAACTTTGTGTATTCTTGTAGAACAAAAGCTGTTCTTGACGTATGAGAAGCTTGACAGAGGCTTACCTGACATAGCAACAACTAATATGTGCAAAGTGAAATCCATCAATAGAGATGGCATGTAGTTGGTAACCCTGGTTTCCGGGAGAGAAATTGAAACGTAGTAGTAAACAGGTCTATTAAAACTATTGCTGTAAAAATGGAAATAAAGAAAGAAAATCTTCCTTGCCAGTTGTGTATCCCTTGGGGTGAGAGGGGGCAGGTGGCACTCTCTATTTGTGTGGTTATGAAAAGAGGATTAACATGGCGACCGAAGACTGATGATGCAGCTAGGAATGAAGATTGGACCAGTTTATCACATATTTCTTTTATATACATTAGTTCTACTCTAATTCTGCCAGTTTATTGAAAATTGGAAATGTCAATAAAAAATAAGGAAAAAAAACAGACTTGCATCACATTCTTAATATACAAAACAAAAAAAGCACATTCAGTTATTTGGTGAAATGTTGTTGGAATGTAATTTTTTTCTATTTAGCATTTAGCCAATCAACATGCATGTTTGATATCTCTTGTATCTGGCTTATTGGTATACACTGGATATCGTAATTCTGACTTGGGTGCATGCCTGCCTCACTGCATACAAAAATATCCTAGACAGGGGAAAGACAAATGTAGATTGTCAAAGTGGTATGTTTTTCATGTTCATGTATGTTCTGCATACTACTTTTGGAAACTGTAAATATCTGGGGCAATAACAAGAAATAAGGTATTTTGATTTTCTAGAAGAAAAAATCATGAACCATGATTTTCAGGTGGTTATAATCTTCCCAAACCATTTTGATATAGATGAGCAATTTATAACCCATTCTAAATTATAATATCTTAAAAAAAGTATAGGACATTTTTCATAGTTTTCAGTCTTACCTCTTCTATTATCCTTGACAGCAGCCTCCTTTGAATGCTAGTGCGCCGCAGTGGCTGCCTTGCTAAAGCCAGGGTAATAATCGGGGCAGCGCCAGGAGCGTCACAACGTGACGGACATGTGCGCTATATAAGAAGCCACCATTATTATTATTATTATTATTACCGACAACAATACAGGAGATGAGACAGAGAATGCCTGTATCTGATCCGCAAGCAAGAGAGACTCGCTCGGGAGGTTCAGCAGCTAGTAGCCCCAGCCGTGACCTACAGGTGAGGCATGATGAGTCCGAATCGGATGAGTGCAATACCAGTCCACCCCTAGAAGGACGATCAGCTCAGATGAAAAGAGGAGCGTCCGGAAAAGCAGAGGAGCTTGCTCAAAACATGTTGCCTAGCAACTCATCACCTGCATTGGATGCTGGTGCAGTTAGTGTCAGCGTTCCTCCAAGAGATGGCAGCGTTCGCCCAAGAGATGGCAGGTTGACTGGAAGAGACGCTGATCGTGGGAGGAAGGAAGATGACAAGATGAAGAGAAGAGAGGTGGGGAAGGAAGAGGAGGAGTGGAGGAATATTCCAAGTGAGTCAGAGCAAGATAAACGTCTCCACATCCCAAAACCAAGAAATCATCCTAATAATCATGACAAACAAAATAACCTGAGTCCAACTATAGGTTCTAGGGAAACCAACAGGAACAGTGATCAAACCAACAATTTCAAGTTTCCCAATGATACCGATAGCATTAGAGAAGAGGGGCGTCTGGGGACAGGTATACACCCTTTATTATCCAGTGGAGTGGATCCTAGGGTTGTTCGTGTTATCGACTTGATAAGTTAAGCGCGATTAATGATGGAATCAGCGGAGAGAATACAGCCTCTCAAAGTGGGTCATGCCTCCAGCAAAATGATAAAGGTAATACAGAATCCACTGGAGAGGGGCAAGGAGGGGCTGATAGAGGTGGAACGGGGGAGAGGGGTGCCATTGGTGGTGTAGAAACTGCAGATAAAAGTATTGACAACCAAGATAGTCTGCTTAGGAGAGTGGGTACTAGTGTTGTAAAGGGTGTAAGGGGTTACATACCCACTGTGTGTAATGCTGTAAGTGAACATATACTAAAACCCTGAAGATAGGAATACGTATGTAAAGTCTAATGGGTTGTCAAGTGTAGACCAGTAAGTTTCTAGTCATGGCATCGTTGCCATGGGCAGCATGAGAAGACATCAAGAACTATGATGATGAAACTAATGTTTTTGTTGGCAAGAGAAGGAGAGAGATTTTACATGAATGTGTTCTCAAGTATGAAAACAATAAGGTATGTGGTCACAAGTAAATACCTTGTTTGAGAAAGTTGTTTCTTTTCTATTTTGCTTTTTTTATATATTTTTTTTATATGAATTATTCATTAATCATATAATATTGAATGGCCCAAGTTGAGGGTTGATAGTAAGGTGAATTACTGTTGAGTCTATAACCAGTTGGTCTATTGCCCAATTAGTCTATTCCCATTTGGTCTACACCCAGCTGATCCACTATACACGTTTAGGCTATTAGCCATTTGATTTTATTTCCCAGTTTGTCTAATGCCCATACCTTCTTTAGAAAATTTGATGTTCTTCAACTCTTCCATACGTAGGTATTTTAGATATACATGTGAGATAAACATGTACATTTATTTTTTTCCTCATTTTTGTCATTAATTATTAGTCATCAGTGTCATTTATGAAATCAACTCCATACCAAACTCCATACCAGCGAAAATAATCGATATATATAGGATGAGTTTGTATATTATTGGACTATTGTAATTAGTGCAATAAATGATGTGATGTGATCACTGAATGATAGCTGACAACACACTTTAAAATGTCAAATCATTATTTATCTGATATGATGAACTGCTATAATACCATACCACAGGAATACAAGTATGTATGGTAAATACTATTGCCGATTTGACTTTTGTTGTTGCTTATTTTACAATTTATAAATTACAAGTTTGTCAATGTTCTCCTAATTAATAAACCATAGTCTCTGCAGTAACCTGGACAATACTCGTAATCCTCATCAAATGAGGTATTTTTTTAGTTATGAAGTCATCTTTATTGTGACATGTATGTAGTTAGTAGTAATATATTCGTTAAATGTATTGTACATTAATATATTATTTCTTAATAGTTTTACTTTTACCTTGACTTTTGTGCTTAGTTTTCAAATTAAAAATAACAGTAATTTTCCCTTCGAAAAAAAAAAGAATCTTTCAATATACCCTTGAGGGTAGAATTTGGTCTGTGAAATGGGATGACTGTTTTTCAAGAAAAATGAATTTTAATAATTTAACTCTGGACTTGTTAGGTATGAAATAAACATACCATATTAACACATTTTCTTTATTTCATTTAAATGTGTTGAATTACGTTTTTTGTACCTATTTTGTTTTGTTTGTTTATTCAATTGTGTATCTGTGGTTATTATTTATGAGTTCTGTAAAAGAAATGTATATGTAATATTTATGAAATTCACCATAATTATGTAAGTCTTATTTTTGTTAGAAGAATCTTATTGCGTATACTAAAGTATAAATTTGTAAATAGACATATTACACATAAACAATGTAAACATGTAGGTTTGTTGAAAAAAAGATGTATTTCGTGTAGATCAATAAATCATTGAGAAAACATTTTAGATCAAGTCTTCAAAACATGAAATTGACTATCAGACATTCTAATGATGTCGGTGAAAACATTTATTTACTTGTACATGTATGAGTATAGTAATATTTCTGTAATATTCATAAAAATGATAACTTGGATTTAAGTGCTCTTCGACCAAACAGGATATGCATATTCTTTCTGTTAAATCTCAACTTTATTCCTGCCTCTAAAAACGTTTTATATCCCTCTACCCTTCCCCTCTCCCTCACTCTATATCTCTCTTTCTCTCCCCTCCCCTTTCCATCTCTCTCTCCTCCCCTTTCCATCTCTCTCTCTCTCCTCCCCTTTCCATCTCTCTCCTCCCCTTTCCATCTCTCTCTCTCTCCTCCCCTTTCCATCTCTCTCTCCTCCCCTTTCCATCTCTCTCTCTCCTCCCCTTTCCATCTCTCTCTCCTCCCCTTCCCATCTCTATCTCTCTCCTTCTCTCTCTCTCTTTTCTCCATCTCTCTATCCTGATGCTGTTTGATGCAATTGGAACGGTACTTTTCTTGTAAAAAGATGTACATTTTTTTGTCCCTGCCAGACTAAAGAAAGGGAGGAATGTGAACCTTACATTTGAATGTATGCACCATTGTGTCTTTGACTTGCGAAGTGCCCAATTCGCTCTGTTTATCTATGGCTGACTTGAAGGAAAAAAGAAGGTTTTAAAAAAGCTTTAAATGTGAAACAATAGGTCATTCTACATTATTAAAAAAAAATATATTTGCTGTCTTATTTTATGTTCATTGCATCAAAACCAACACATCAATATCTATGTTAGGAGGATTGACTAATTTAAAGTGAGATGCATGTCTCAACCATGTATACAAACCCCTTTCATTTCATTTAATAATTAAGTTGGGTTAGACAGGATTATCAGCTTTTCCTTAATCCAATAAAGCTACAGCACAATAAACAAATGTTTTTATGTTTTGCCAATATCAAAATGTTGTATCATCTCAACACTACAAAATCTACTTATTATGTCTTGATCTTGTTGTTATCTACTAATGATCAGTTGTATATAAATATTAGAATATTAGTCTATATGAATAAATGTGTATAATGGAAATTACATAATTACAAAGTACATTTGAAATGTAATTCTACGTGTTGCTACCTAATCAAGTAATATAAATGCTAGAATCAAGTAAAATATGTAAGTGAAATGTTGCCAAACGTTCGACAAAACATTGATGCAATAAAGAATGAAATTGCAAACACCCAAGTTTTGTTTTCTCTTTTTTCTGAATTATAAAATGTATGATACCGATTCTGTTCAATAAGAATTCTCAACAAAAATGTAAAAATGAACTTGAAAGGGAAAAAAATGACTTACCCTCGAGGTGGATAATTCCCAACGACAGTATGACAGCTCGCTCATCACTTCTCATAACAGAGCCTTGATGTTTGTGTGGGTTTGTGGGATTCCCACTGTATTGCGCAATACCAAGTCCTATCAGTCTTTGGTTATAATCTTGACGCAAGGTATATATACTGACCGATCGTGTTTCAATATCGGTTATGTAATAGAATAGCCTCTGTCCTGCAAAGACTATTGGGGGGGGGGGGGGGATGCTACCAAGAAATCTTCTGACTCTGTCGCTATACTCTCTCGTATGATATTCTAGTATGAATTACATATTTGTTTATGTCGCATTAATATTCTGAAATCTGAATGCCCGACATATAGATCTCGATGATCAACCAGAAACAAACAAAAATGATAACATTATTTGTGAGATTTCAAATTATAACAATTAACAGAGAGGAAATTAAGCGTGCATCTGACACGATTCCCAGTCAACATAATCACGACTATATACAAGGTATCTATGAGGCCTATAAAAAAGATGTTGTATGGGTCGGTCGGCCTGTCTTTCTTTAAAAACATTTTTTTCTTTTCTCTCTCTTTGGGCTGATATATCTCGGTTCGGAATGCTTTAATATTTTTTTCTCTAAAAATCGGTTAGTTATTTTTAATTTTTTTTTTTAAAGCCGACCGTAGATTTCAAGATTGTTGGGTCGCAGAGGACAATACAACATTTTTTTTATAGGCCTATTATGTGATGATTGTCACAACGCAAGTCTAGAATTTAAAACAATTTACAAAAAGTCAGTACCATTAATTTATCTCAAACCAATGTAAATAATAAAAGAAAAGGAAAGCACCCCCTGTTCTTTTCTGTTCTGTAAATTATGCACCTTTGAAGATGAGACGGGTTGAATCCACTGAACTGGAATGTGTCGCCCTCTAACGTTCACATTCACGTTAATGGAGACTGCCATGTACTTTCTTATATATTTTGCACGAGCATTATTTATAGGATTATGATTTCACCTACATGGGCTATATGGAGACACGAAAATTGATACAGTGGTGTTAGCGATTTCCGCCCCATTTTCACATTTTTGATAATGGACACGGGGGTGACAATGAAGGTGATAATGGTGATGATTACTGTTATGATGAGACGAGAGATAAATGATGATGAATATGAGAAGTCTCGAGACGAAGAAGAACCGCACGAAGATAGTTCTAGTGATGTAAATGGAGGAAAGAAGAGAGAGAGAGAGAGAGAGAGAGAGAGACGGACATACAGAGAGAGAGAGAGAGAGAGAGAGAGAGACGGATATACAGAGAGAGGGAGAGAAGTGGATGTAGCAACAACAAAAAAATTCAACCAATTAATCAATTTTGTGTATGATTGTTATATGTTTTGTACATGTTGGATGATTAATGAATCGAGAATGAATTGAAAATAAAGCAAAGAAAAAGAAAAAATAATAGTTGTGGCAGTAGTAGGCCTATCAGAAGTAAAAGAGGAAGAAGAAATGGAGGCCGAAGAAGAAGAAGAAGACAATTTAAAAAAAAAGAAGAAGAAAAAGAAGAAGAAGAAGATATTAATTCAGAAGTTGAGTAGGTCTTTTTATTAGAGAAACATTTCAATCAACCGGTAGTCGTCTATTACGTCAATGTAAATCGTCTTGACATAAGCACTCCAGTGTGTTCGTCACAGGGGCGTAAATCCCTGGGGGGGGGCTGCATACCCCCCCCCCCCCCCCCCCCCCCCCTGGCTTGAAGTAGGGGGATGGCCTGTACAATCATCCCCCCTGAGATTACAAAAAAAGAGAGGAAAAAGAAAAGAAGAAGAAGAAGAAAAAAAAATGTGATGGTTTCACTTTCAGCATAATGCATGAGAAATGAGTTGTTTTTAAATGTATGTATAACTGTATAGCCTACACGTATACAGTATGTCACGATCATTAAGAGTAGTTGCGCGACGTGCGCGAACAAGCACTTTCTTTCTCTTCCCTCCCCTTCCCATCTCTCACTCCTCCCCTTCCCATCTCTCACTCCTTCTCTCTCTCTCTCTCTCTTCTCTCCATCTCTCTCTCTCTCCTCCCCTTCCCATCTCTCACTCCTCCCCTTCCCATCTCTCACTCCTCCCCTTCCCATCTCTCACTCCTTCTCTCTTTCTCTCTCTCTTCTCTCCATCTCTCTATCCTAATGCCGTTTGATACAATTGGAACGGTACTTTCTTGTAAAAACATGTAAAACAGTTGTCTCTGCCAGACTAAAGAAAGGGAGGAATGTGAACCTTAAATCTGAATGTATGCACCATTGTGTCTTTGACTTGCGAAGTGCCCAATTCGCTCTATGGCTGACTTGACGGAAAAGAGAGGCTTTAAAAAAGCTTTAAATGTGAAACAATAGGTCAATAGGTTAAACATAAATCTTTTCAGTCTTTATTATACTCATTACATCAAAAACAACACATCAATATTTACCGTATGTTAGGAGAATTGACTAATTTAAAGTGAGATGTCTTTACCATGTATGCATACAATCCCCTATCATTTGATTTTACTAATTAAGTGAGATTAGACAAGATTATCAGCTTTTTCTTCCTCCAAAGCTACAGCATAATAACAAAAAATGTTATGTTCTTACAATATTAAGATTTTGTATCATGTCATAACTACAAAATCTGCTTATTATGTTGTAAGTTTTGTTGTTATCTACCAATGATCAGTTGTATATAAATATCAGAATATTAGTCTACATAAATAAATGTGTATAATGGAAATAACATAATTACAAAGTACATTTGAAATGTAATTCTACGTGTTGCTATCTAATCAAGTAATATAAATGCTAGAATCAAGTAAAATATGTAATTGAAATGTTGCCAAACGTTCGACAAAACATTGATGCAATAAAGAATGAAATTGCAAACACCCAAGTTTTGTTCTCTCTTTTTCTGAATTATAAAATGTATGATACCGATTCTGTTCAATAAGAATTCTCAACAAAAATGTAAAAATGAACTTGAAAGGGAAAAAAATGACTTACCCTCGAGGTGGATAATTCCCAACGACA